TCCAATTGTTATCTCTGCTGTGCTGTCTACTCCTGCATGTTCGCAATATTTCTCATGACACAGGGAATTTTATATTCTTCAAGGTGGAAACTGTATATATCACCACACCACCACAGTAATCCTTAGCATAATCAACTGCGAAAACAACCTTCTTCACTCAAGCACGGGTCGTATCGTTAGGAAGCGTCAAACCTGGGTTAAGGACCCCGCACCGACTATAGTTGACGCTTGTTTCATTTGACTGGTACCAGCGGCGTAGGCAAGGGGGGCGGGGGGGGGGGGGTCGAACCCTTTCCCCCCCCCCCCCCCCGAAATGCCGAAGCTACCCCCCCCCCCCCCCCCGAGCCCATGGGGCCCGCTCGCTGCCCTGCTCACGCTGTCGGTCTTGCACGAGACACGGAGCAAAGGGGGAGCGGGGGCTATCTCCAACTTATATGCTTTCGGGGGGAATCTTTGTTGGGTAGAAAGTGCTTAAATATATAAAATAGTCAATATTTATTCATTCATGCTTATTTGATGGGATGCGGAACTTGATCTCAGACATATAGAGAATGAATATTTCGAAACATTTGTGCGGTGAAGGATGGCAAATTCAGGGAAAGGTATAAAAAAACTATCCTCTCTGAAATACATAGTTAAATCAAACTAAAGGGGACATAATAAAACGCACAAATGGTGATAACATAAAACAATGTCAGTGAAGTAAGGAATATTAAATGAATTGTGAAAACAATTGCACTCTATGCAACGGATGACGCTGCGCTCAGGCACACCTTGGGTACTGATCAGAAAACGTACTTTGAATTAGAAATTACCGCGAATAAAAAAGTCACTGTGACTAGTTATTTCAGAAAGCAATTTACAGTCTCTCTTGCTCATTTCATTTATGCCGAGCGCCTACATATTAAGATGCAGCCGCCTGCTTTCACGGCTAAGAATATCCTGGATGTCCACCGCTTGAACTTCAATGTTGCGGTGAACATTCGAAAGCACTAGACCGAGCAGTCGCTGATTCGAAGTGGACGCTCTCAGGTATGTTTTCAGCCGTCATAGTGAAGAGGACGAGCGCTCAGCTTCCGCCGTTTTTACGCACAGAGTGACTAGGATCTTGAAAAGACGATAGATGTTTGGGAATAGGGCCTGTAGACAGGGGGCAACCGCCTGTAGCGCAGACGTGATGGGCGTTTCATGTTTCTCCCTCTTCCATTGGACGCCTAAAATTTCCCCATTTTCGGCGAAGTTTCTTTCCCTTTGTGAAATTTTCCTCCATCGAGACGCCCGTCTCGGTGGAGGGAAATTTCTCCCCCTTTCTTATTTACATGTCTAAATGGCATCCGATGCAATTCGTTATTAGATTAAACTTTTCAATGCGCGGAACATCAGAAACTCCGAAGAGCCTTCATATTCTCACTATGCATAGGCGCAAGGATATTCAAGTTCGTTTCCACGTTCGGCGTGTGGTTTGCGTGTTTGTGTGTGATGTCATTTCTCCGAATGACGGAACGACGAGTTCGGACTGACGACTTCTAATCGCTTCGAGGATATGCCGCTGCTGCCTTTGGACCACACTGCAAGATAAAGCGGCCTAGCAAAAAATAAGACTCTCTTTCCTTTGGCATCTTGTTCTGTAGCACGAATTATTTAAACCTTTAATGGATAATAGATTTTGGTTTTGTGATTGTTCAGAATTACCCTCACCCTATATATGGGACCCTAGTGTTAGTGCGAAGACGGCTGCTCTAAATTTTCAGCGTCGAAGGTTTTTTTCTTGCCATTTTTTTTTTTTTTAGGGGGGGGGGGGGGCAGTATAGTCTGCCGGTAACAGCCAGGCGGCGCCAGTAGAGTGACAGCTCAAGGTTATACCCTCCCTCGGTGTAACTTGGCAAAAATTGAACGATAAGCCCCCCATTGCGTGCCGACGGCTTCGATATCCGTATGCGAGCGCCACTCACGAATATTGGAGCATGACGCAGTGAAAGCTGGATACTTCATCGCAGTAAAAGCGCACTCCGGTGATATGTAGTCACGTTCCGATCGGCCCGCCAGGCCGCAGCTTGCGCCGTACTTGCCTGTTATGCGCTTGCGGCTTCCTGGCCTACCTAGTATTTCTTGCTTCAGGCACTGGGCTATTGCGGCGCCATCAGAGTAATAGCTCACGTTCGAACAATGCAGCAGCCACTCCCAGGTATACCAATTGTTTCTTGCTTCAGTCGCTAGATAGCGCCAAACCAAACAGCATTGCAGGTTGTAGGAAGAGAGGAGAGAGAAAAAAAAAGCCCTCGCTCTCACCCCTCGCGTCGTCTGCTCCGCCGAGTGGGCTGTAGCCTGCACCTAACATCCGGCTGGCGTTCAAATTTGGGTTCAAATCGCGTCATTTTGGTAATTTCATGCGCAGATGCGCGGATTTTAATATGCAAGTTATCGTGTAATGCCTTGCTCGATAAAACGACTGACGGGGTACGATTGCGCTGTTACCTGGGTGCAAATAAAAACAAGAAATGAAAAAATTGTGTCAGAGTGGCCGGTCCCCCGGCGAAAAGTAAATCCGGTTGTAATATAGCAACCAACCACTGTCACTTTGGGCACATTCAAGGGCATCTCTCATGAAGATCAAGGAGGTATTTTCAAACTCCTCTTTTACATGCTGTCTGTTTTAAGGGTAAAATGTTTGAATTAGTTTTAGAAATGGTCTTGTTTCCTCTTAGTCCAATAATTTAGAACAGTGGTTCTCAACCATCGATGCTTCACGGACCCCTTGTGTGTCGGCGGAGATGATGGAGGACCCTGTTCGTGGTGAGACGAGGAAAAGTATAGGTTAAATATAATATTGATTTAATAAATGGATATAACTAAGGGCTAGTGTGAAGTAGACCTCTCCTATTGACATACACAAGAGAAAACTCGACCAAAAACTGAAACATTTCTTCTCGACCTGAAAAAAATACAACTTTTATTGCCGAGGTTGATTGATGAGGTAGGTCTTCGCGGACCCCTAGAATGCCTTCGCGGACCTCAAAGGGTCCGCGGACCCCCATTTGAGAACCACTGATTTAGAACATAGCAGCCATCTAGACGTATTACTCTAAGCCAGGGGTGTCCATGCTGACCCGGCCTAAGAGCCGCCAACAAAATCACTAAACTTCCAAGGGCCGCCTGAAAGAGAAAAGGCAGAAAAAAAAGGGGGGGGGGGGGGGGGGGGGAGTTCCAAACTTTTTTTAGGCCATTAAATGAAACTTGAACTACTTTAAATCTATCTAAGTCAAAAGCAGTCCCACTACACGTACGTATGGCAGCAATAGCTCAGGACCAAACCGCAACATGTCTCAATTTAAAACTCGTTCTTTTTCTCTTCTTGGGGAAGTGCTCATGTGACCGGAGGGAGACAGGAAAGGAGGTGGGGAGGGGGGGGTGTTAGGTATACTACCTAACACCCCCCCCCCCCCTCCTCCACGAGCCGCACTTTAACACGCAGCTTGGCCGCCCCTGCTCTAAGCTAAGAATAAAAAGTCGTACCTCAGAGGCTCGTAAACATGTTGCAGTGATCATATCACTCGAAGGGCAGAAAAGGTGTCTCGCACTGGCAGATCAAACGCGGGCTCCAGAGCAGTTGCTTGCAGTCACTGCCTCTCGAAACCGTTTGGGGGACATCTCATTCTCAAGAGCCGGCTCCTTGAAACGTCTGTTAGTGGTTAGAAAGAAATGCTTCAAAAAATTCACCGCCTTTTTTTTTTTTTTTTATTAATATTGTTTGTTTTAAACGTGTCGTTTCGGAGGAAATTTTCGATGTGCAACAAAGCTAAAAGAGCAAAAATAATGTGTAGCATGTCAGAAAGCCAGGGCCCAGAGGCTCCTCTGAGTCTTGTTCCACCTTTAGGTCTGAGCTGTTCTAAACTAAAACCGTTTGTCTGTCGTAATGCGGCACTGCAGGCCTCAGGTATGAGCCAATGGCCTTTCTGTGGTGTCGCAGCCCTTTAGGCTGAATAAAAATCAGTATGTTCCCCTTCTTCATGGATTATTTTCGTCACTGCAGAAACTTTGTCCGGCTGACGCGACGCCGGTTCCGGTGCTATCCTCCGGGTCCGTGTCACAAAGCTCTCGTCAAAACTCGTCTAGCACGCCGCGATTATCTTGCACGTCCAAGCAGGCTGACCTGCTGATGCTCGTGTCGAGGGATGTGGTAGCAGGGAAAGCTCAAGGCGTTTTAGACTAAGGACTCCTCCCCATCGCTTTTTCATAATAAAGATGTTTATTCTCTCTCTCTCTCTCTCACCGAGCGATACCTTTCTTGTGGCTATGGTGTGCTTGAGTGTTGTGCACGAGCGTGGAGTGCGTAAAAGCATCTCCAAACGCCCATCCGCGAGCCCACAATTTCGTCGCTTCTGGCCCACGGTGTACGAAGGATACCGTGTTCTGGCCGAACCCTTCTCGAGCAGTTTCATGCCTGTGTCACTGTCATGCCTTCGGTTAGTAAAGCTAGTGGCGCTTCGCGCGAAGTCCATCATGGTGTTTTGTCTCGATCTGTACGTAACAGCGGCGTACAATTCTTTATCACGGTAGCAAACGTCAATTTGTTTCATAGACAATGGTGCCACAGTGCGATGTTGGAGTTAATTTCGCGGCACTGTTGGGTGGCGAACGGGTTCAGTCCGTGCTCGCTGGCGTCTGCTTGTCGTCTCCCTCGTGTGAATGTTTTGGGAGACGGACGAACCGCGGACATGTCGCCACGTAATCAATCCGTCCGCGGATCAGTCCGTCCTCTGAATAGGCCATTACGGAAAAGAGTTTGTTCATAAGGTTGGTTCATAACTCCCGCCTTCAAGCCGATTCACCACGCAAAAGGCGACGCGACAAAAAACGTATTTCAAAATTTAGAAAAAATATATAAAACTTTTATAAACAATTACAAATATATTAAGATCGGTTCAAATAAGACTTTGATTTTTTTATAAATATGTTAAAGAACACAAAAAAGAGGTATAGCTGCCTGCTTCGCATTTTTTAGGTATCCGCGTGAACCTGGCTGGCGGCTTGCTGCTTTTGCAGGAAGCGAGCGAGTGGCCGTGTTTGAAACCTTCACTGTCTAAACTTTGGGTGCCTTTGTTTTATTATTTAATAATTATTTACAGGGTTCTCGGGTCCCCTAATTTATATTTGACGCGACACACCCACGCAGCCATCGTAACTTAACTTCAGTAAGTGTGCGTTCCTCATTTCAGAGACTAGGGTTAGCGAGGTATACTGTCATTCGTGTAGTACCATCAATTTGGGACGATTTTTCTTTTCATACCACTGTCATTCGTCTCGTTATTAATCGTTTAAGTGTGTCCTTTCGTTCCTACGGTGTTTGTCGACATTATTCTATACTGTTCGTGGGAGTACTGACTTCGCTGACTGAGTCGCTCTATTTTGGAGGGAAATTTTCCAAAAACGTTACTACCGGCAATGTTTTTTTTTTTTTTTTTTTTCCTCCGGTAGCGAAGTGTGAATTACATTTGGTTCTGTAATCAGTTTCGCTTAAAAGTACGCGCCTAGCAGAAGTTACGAAAGCGAGCTCCGGACTTTCAGCGTCTCCGCTGAGCACGCGCGTTCGTGCAGTGCAAGCATCGTTCAGGGCAGCATGCTCGTGCACCTGGCTTCGCTGGCGCATAAAGTAACACGAAGCACCTTGTTAATCCAAAAAGGGCGCGAGTTCGTTTCGTTTCGTATATTTCGTGACTGTGCGACGTCGATTGCTTGAACTTTAGTGCTCTAGAAAACCTCGTATGCTCGTCCTACGTCCGCTTCGAAGGTGCATCCACTTTCTTGCTCTTTCAAGCGCCCTAAAGCTAACAAGTTCATTCAGTCGATTGTTTAATAACTGCGACGTGGGTCTTGAAAGGTGGTAAGCAAAGATTTGCAGAGACGGTCCACCTTCTGACAATTCTGAAGTCGAGGCACTGTTTTCAGCAGAGCATACCTGTTTCATATTTTTTCGTCGTTTTTTTTCTTTTTTTTTTTTTTCTCTCTTTTGGTGTAGGTGAGTGGTTGGTTTGCAACATATTGTTTTTTTTTTTTGTTTTTTTTTAATGCAAAAGCATTCACTGTTTTATGGTGCGAGCAGACGTTATCAGCTTTGGAAGCCGCGCCAGACGGCACCTAAACTCCCCTGTCCCAAATGAGCGAAGCCTGTTGTCTGTAGATGTGATTTGATGGATAGGCTCTCATTGGCTGGCGCACGTCATAGTTTCAAGGAACGAGGCTCCTATTGGCTGCTGCTCGGCATATTTAAAATACATTTCACGGTTTTCTGTTTTTGCAGACAATGTCTGGCATCGCCATAGCCCGTCTCTCAGAAGAACGGAAGGCCTGGAGAAAAGACCACCCTTTCGTAAGCACCCCTTTCCGAGCACCTTTTTCTGCGTCCTTGTCGTTAAATCCAGACGTTGCGTAGCCGGAGCCAACTTAGCTGCGTCGTGTGGTTTGGATTTGATAAAAGGTCTCGAAACACAGTTTGCACGCTTTGAAAATGCCATAAATGCGGCGATTTCTTTCAGTGACATTGCTTCCCCTTTGCCGTGCCCTTCCCAAAGCTTACAGCGAAGTGACATCTGTTGTCGTGCAGTACTCTGTTGAAATGTGCCATCATTGTGCAGATGCTCGTACGACAGATGCATGTAAAAATGTGCATCTGTCAGGGTGTGTGACCTTGACAGACGAGCCTGTCAAGTTTGAGCAACCTTCACCGTGCGCACAACTTAAAGGCCAATTCAGACGTTTGAGTTATTGTGACCGACCGCTCACAACTGCTTGCGTCTGCTACCAACACTTGCATCTATTGCATAGTCCGGGCCCACCTCTGCTCTGCGTATATTTCCTAATTTTTTTTTATGTGGCATCATTCTTTCATTGTGGTCTTGGGATGGTAACAACCATTTGTCATAGATGGTGCATAGATTTGAGCTCGCAGGCGCTGCAGAACCTTTAGTCCTGTTCAGAACAAGAAGCGTTCAAGTGTTGTTTGCACACTGCATGGTTGGCCAAACTCTGATGCAAATGTCTGCACCAGCGTTTTGAGCTATAATATTCTCGGCTATACTCCGTACACTCCTAAGCCGACAGTGCAGTATGTGCTCGCCAGGCCAATCAACCGCGACTCCTTCATCACCCGTCACCGCTCTCTGCGTGAGCTTCACTGCAGACTTAGAGGTGTACAAGGTGTAGCTGTAGCACAGTGTTGAGCAAAGTCTACTCGAGAGGAGGTGATCACACACTTGGGAAATGTTGACAAGTGGGCGTCAGCGTGCGGATGGTTGTCGTAACCGTGTGACTCCGTTTTCGTCGCCCAGGGTTTTGTGGCGAGGCCAACAAAGAACAACGACGGTACCCTGAACCTTCTCAACTGGGAGTGTGCCATTCCTGGAAAGACCGGGGTAAGCCACCTTTTATCTTCAGGCAGAGATTTCTGGGCTACATTTGTTTTTACGTTAGGTTACAAATCCCTCCTTTTAAAGTGTTAAGTAAAGGGATTCAACTTCACGACGGATAGAAATCCCTCCTTTTAAAGTGTTTAGGAAAGGGATTCAACTTCACGACACAGTTCTGGCGATTCGAAGTGGTGTCGTAACTACTTCGGAAGGGTGACTTCGTTACTCTTAAGCACCTGTGCCGTTGCTTCCCGTCTTTAGTTCGGTTTGGGTGGGTAGTTGGCAGAAGCGAGGTCATTTCGACCTTTGTGAATATGTCTTCTGCGTGGTGAGCATGATATGATACGAATGCTTCATTATTCCGTGCCTCAGGACGACCGAAGCCTTGATGCAAGTCACATTCGTGATTATACAAGCTTGCACAACACAAGCTTACACACCAGTACACAAAAGCTTCGTATTCGCATTTAAGATGTGCATAATTTGTAAAAGCGCGCAAAGATTTGTTCGGTAAAATTGCATTGGACGACGTTTGCACGTGGGCGATCGGACGCGCCTTTTCAAACAAAAACATTTGGTCTACCGAGCAAAGGACCAGAGTTTTTATAGGCCTTTGTACCGAAAAACGAGAAAAGAAAAAGCCCGGTTATGGTTTGCGTACTGCATCGCGGTCCCGCGCGGGGTTATGCCCTTTGTGTTGCCACGAACAGAGGTACAGCATTTCCTATTGTCAGGTCCCCCCCCCCAGTTACTTTCACACCACCGGTACACTCATTTAACACACAATACCGTAAAACTACCTACTGGAGTATCGGCATATGGCACATCACCGTCTGTGGCGCACGTCTAGGGCATTCAACTCACCGTCTGTCTCCGGTAATCTCCGCAGACCCCGTGGGAGGGTGGCCTTTACAAGCTGCGGATGGTGTTCAAGGACGACTACCCTTCCACGCCGCCAAAGTGTGAGTCGCTTGCCCCGCCTTTGCTTCGTTGCACTCCCTCTCCTCGCGAGGTCGCGTGCGGTGCTACGTCTATTGGAAAGCATCCTCGACCGGCACGTTTGGCGTCCTGTTCCACCTTCGCGTAGATGCAGGTCCCAAAGTGTCCTAAAATTGATGTCCCAAGGGCCGGTGCGTCGTGCCAGAGCTTAAAATCCCGCTGAAGGAATCTTGAAAAGAAATGCTGGTCTTAAAGCACGGGCCAAAAGTGACCATTCTGACACCACGTTTCGACATTTGCTCCCATAATATTGGGACGGTTTTGCGCAGCATGGCCTATGTTGCTTTTTGTGCCATTAAACACTTAATAATATTGCGACGGTGTCGGGAGCGTCATTCTCACCAACAATGTTGTTTGGGAGAAAGCAAAAGTAACAACCTCGTAAGTTGTTGCAGAAATCGAGCTATTTATGATTAATAAATGTAAACTGGAGGGCATCTTAGACTGCCAAAAGACTCGCCAAAGTTTGTATTGCAAACCGTCGAGCTGGAGCGCGTCCTATGGCACAGCGGGCACCCGTCGTCTGCACCTGTGTGTCCGTGCTGCCACCGGGATCGCAGCTGGCGATAGCGGGATGCAAATGCAACCTCGGCGGGCAAAAGTCGGGGGATCGCAAGCCAGATGTAAATGCGCCAAGTTGGAGATGCGCTGCAGGCGCTGTAGCAGCGCGTCGCAGGCTCCGACCACTGCTTGACCCGCGTCACCGCGGGTTACCGTGCAGGCAAGTTCGAGCCCCCGCTGTTCCACCCCAACGTGTACCCGTCAGGAACGGTGTGTCTCTCGTTGCTGGATGAGGAGAAGGACTGGAGACCGGCCATCACCATCAAACAGGTGGGGGTTTCCTCCTCTCCCAACACTTCCCAGTTTGGGAGCATCTCAAACCTTTCTGTTTTGAGGAACGGACTTTGTTCCGGATTGATGGCCGAGTTTTGTAATTCTCCGGTGGTGTGGGGTCAAACAAGCCTTGCACGCCTTGAACCTCACTAGATGCGCGCTTACATGGATGGTGTCGGCCCGCTCCGGGGCAGAACTTGCCGATGAGAACGAGACGACAGGCAACCGATCTCGACGGTGACGAGGGCAGATCTGAGGCGAGCGCCTCGAGCAGATTTATTTTTCATATTTTTGGTGACCGAATCATGTCTTGCCGCCGCGCGGCCCGTGGTTTTGTACAACACGTGACACATGCAATTGGCGCATTGTAGGTGGTGCCATCTCTGAATGAAAGACGGCCGTAAACATAATCACTACACCGAGGAACCTTGCATGGCTGCGGCACTAATGCAATGAAGTTTTGAAGTTTCTTTGTTTTTTAACGCAAAACATTTTTTGGCTATGTGTTCGGCACTTCGTGAAGCCCAGGGAAGACCGTGGCCGCCAGACTTGACACCGATAGGTCAACGAGTGGGAGAGGAGGAGTGAGGTGCTTGATGCCGATTGGTTAACAGGAAGGTCATGGGACCAGAGCGGTAGGCGACGAGGAGCTCAACCACCTGTGCGCACTGAGGGAGAGGAGCTCGAGAGCACGAAACGTTCTGGAAGGTTGCCAAGATTATCGGCCCAATTAGCAGTAGTATCACTTCGTCCTAGAAACCACTATTGAGTGTCCGCATGCCACGCGTTAAAACTATCCGATGAAAGGCGCCGTGAACGTGGGCGTCTGGAAACACTGCGTATCGCTAAACGTTAGTGATGCTGGAACGTTTCACGTGTACAACACAATTGCCTATCAATGTGCCATAAATTTGTGAGCACATACAATGTTCTAATCTCCCTGCCAAAAAAAAAAAAAAAAAGCTGCGAAGACGGTTTGACGAGGCCGGGGAGCCGTTACGAGGCAACGACGACGCAAATACAGGAGGCGGTGAAAGTTGTTCGCTCTACAGCGCTGCAAGTAAAAGCGATACGTCCAACGATTAGAGTACCAAACCTTCATTGAGAGTCAGAAGTTTGCTCCGCAGTGCTAAAACTTCGGCGATTATTGTAAAAATGCTCAAACACAAAATTTCTCAAGTTTAGAACTGAATGACGTCTCGGTTTACACTTGCACTACAAAAATGTGTATGAATTTGTTGGTTTATATGGGTGCAAATCGAGAGGAGGGGACGTCGGAACACCGAGCTCTGGTTGGAAGGATTAGTGGGTGGACGAAAAGCTAGCTGCCTTTCTCCTTACTCGCCATTGGAATGCGTTTCATTGGCAAGTGCCTGCGTTCGCGGTTCCAACGTGTTCAAGGTGCAAGTACGGGTGAGGTCGGCTAGCTTTGCGTGTACCCGCTAATAATTACAACCTTTTTTTCAGTCGACGTCGCGCAGCGCACTTTAGTTCACGTTTCTGCCGCCGTCTCTTGGGGGGGGGGGGTTCTGCGCTTTTCAGTGCCGTGACGTCGGGGAAAAGCAGGCTTGCAGGTCGAGCGGGCAGTCTAAAAATCTACTATGCCGAGCATTTGTTTTGTGCAGCTGTGCGGGTGCTGGAGCAAGCTTCCAAAGCATTCATTTGACACCTTTAAACTTCTTGTAATCAGTTGGGAACAAATCCTACTGTCCAATGAGTGAACCCCCCTGCCTTCCCCTGACGTCACTTTTTCATTGTCGCCAGTATCTTTCACTTTGAGAAACACGGTGAGGGCTGACATTTTAATTTCAATAACTTCACTGAAAAATAAATTTTTTCCCAATTTTTTGGTTAGTATTTCAGCCATGTTTGTTGGTGTGTTTAAGCAAATGTTCGGACAGATCGGAGATGATGAAGAAAATTCCGGTGTATTGCTTTTAAACGCTAGTTTTTCTCGAACACGGTCTCCAGACTTGCGGCATAGTTGCATTGCTTTGGCAGTCTACAATTTTCTTGGCAGCACGTATGTAGGTAGAAGCAAAAGTCTCAAACATCTCTTTAAAAAAAAAAAAAAAAGCTTGCAATTTATTTTTTGCGAAACAAAAGTGAATAGCATTTCGCGGCCGGCAGGTCCAAACCAGCGAGACGGTGGGGAACTGTAGCCCTTGGGGTGCAATCTCTTCAGTGGGGAGAGCAAGTCTGCTTCTTGCGCAGGAGTTGCGCTGACGTCAGAACGATGCCGAGATCTGATTGGCTTTGATTGAAAGGATAGTCGGTAGACCTTAATGTTAAATGCCTCAAGGTCTACCCACCTTTTTTTTTTTTTCAATCGGCCAATAAGAGTTTGGCTTTCTGGCATCATCGCACAACCCCTGTGCAAGAAGCAGACGAACTTGCGATCCGCATAGGCATCTCGCAATTTGGGTTGTCAGGACTGAACGCAAAGTCTGTTTTTTCTCTCCCCCCCCCCCCCCCCCCCTTTTTTTTTTATTTTTTTTATTTTGCGTGTGTGATTTTTAGATCCTGCTCGGAGTCCAAGACCTGCTCAACGAACCCAACGTCAAAGATCCCGCGCAGGCCGAGGCGTACACAATCTACTGGTGAGCGAAATCTTTGGGTTTCGATTCGAGGTGTTCCGCCGGACTTCCTAACTACGGTGCCTGCGTTTCGTATCCGGCTGGTGCACTTACCGCATCCCCAAGAACGGTTTCCGACTTCCATTAAGTGACGTCGCGCAAGTGTGGTGCCGTTGCCCGCCACGGTCCTAGCAGCGGCGTGGCGGCAGGCGTGGATGCAGCAGACGCTCGTTCTGGCGCAGGCCGCTCCTCAGCTTTATTTCGCGGAAGCTTTGGCAGCCGTGAGTTGGAACTTGTACGACATTGACACTCGTTCGGTCATGCTCTTTTCTTTTCCGGAACACGTACGACCGACTGACATGATTGCAACATCCAACCCTTTGAGACTCCGGATTTAGTAACATTGTTCGTTGCTGCTTGGGTGGCGCTTTTGAGACATCGGCGGTGTAAGAGGCTAAACGCTCCGGGTCGCCAGATTTTGGTCGGCCAGACAGTGGAAACAAGATCTGACTTACCCTTTGCGGAGCGAGGGAAAATGGGGCTCCTAGACAGTTCGCCTGATAATGCGAGTGAAAACGTTGTTCATCTGCTATGAAGCATCGTTTGCTGACGGAAGTAAAATGAGCAAACGCCGTTTGTCATCTGCCTACAGACCAGGGGAAAAAAGTGGACCGTCGGCTACCAATCAAGCACCACGGCGAAGGCACCGTAGTTCGAACGAGAAAGTGGAGGCAGGGGCCCGTGTTGAAACGCAACCTCTCTAGTTTGCAAGCAGTTGCACTTTGAAACCGAGTGTGGTCACTGTGGGTGGAAAACTTTGTTGGGTGCTCTAGTCTGGCAACCATGTGCATTTCTTGTCAAGGAAATGGAACTGACTAGCGCGGCTGGGGGTTAAAGGAAAGTCAGGACTCCCTCCCCTGTGGCTGCAGCCTGAAGTCTCGCCTGTCTCTCGGTGGGATTGGTGTTGGGGTGATGCCAACAAGGTTTGACGAGAGGAAAATTGGCGATACGTTGGCATTTATCGCCCCAGTGCATGCAGCAGTCTTTTGATTGGAAGGTCGTGGTTTGGACTGGACCGGTCTTGTGAGGCAGCGGCGCGGTTCCTGCCGTGCTCTTCGCTCTGCTCGTTCGTTACGTCCGCTTTCCCTTTTACAAAAGGAAAACAATCTTCTGGCACATTTCCAACGACACGCCACGGAAGCAGGAGAGGAGGGAATATAGCAGCAGTGGTAGTGTGTCAACATACGTGACAGCATAAAACCGAGGGGCAGCATCGTCGCTGTTTGCGCGAAACCGCCAGCACCCAGGAGGAAAGGCTGGCTCGTCGAAGACAATCGTATGCGAATCGTAGGCGGTGATTGAGGCGTGTTGTGGTGACTGCATCCGAAACCACGGACACCCGGGAGAACAGAGTAGCTCTCCGAACACAGCAGCATGTGGACCGTTGCGAGGTTGGAATTCCCATGATCCATTGAGTCTGAGCCCCTGCTGCAATTGCTAGCGCATTTCATTAATCAGCAATTTCGGCATTTTTTTTTTTTTTTTTTTTTTTTGGTTTTTTAAGTTATTTTGGCGATACCCTACACTGTCTGCTTACAAAAATTCAGAGGGGAAGGAGATCAACTTAGTAGTAGGACAGGGGGAGGAGTCGTGTTCTTTTTTTTTTTGGTCGTAAGGCTAGGTGGCTTAAGCTACTGCCCGTTATAAAGATACAGCCGTCAGCATTCATCCATCAATCCATCCATCCATTTGTTCAGACTCGACTACTGGGCCTTTTATGCCGAGGACGTTTAGGCACCCCAGGTCCGGGCACGTCGTCATGCTCAACGGCGCAAGAAAAACAACAAAAAAACCTTGATCCCAGATTGCTTTGCATACCAACGCCGCTCTCATCATCTGCTCGTATCGGCTCGGTGGGCTACGTTAGGGTTAGGCTACGTCTGCTCCGCGTCCGTGGTCCGCTTCGTCTGCCCGCCGTCGCGGATGTGTGTCTGCACGATCTGCACACCCGGAGAAGCTTCGATGTGTATGCGCAGTCGCGACACGCTGGAAGTCGGCGAACGCATGCTGGGGGCGGAGTTCCTAAAGCTTTCTCAACCCGGTGCCGCTTGCTTTCTGAAGCCGCGCTGTCTGTACTTCGTTTCACCTTACGTCCGGACGAAGCGGATGCTACGAGCTGTCCTAGTCAGTCCCGCTCTAGGGACGTAGTCCGTGATATGCTTTAAGCGCGTCGCTGTGCCTTGAGAGACGGGGGGAGGGGGGGGGGGGGGGGGAGGGGTTGTGCCTACTTTTGTTGCACTTCGCTCCATACATGGAGTGAAGCATAATGCCATCTTCTGCCTGCTATAACCTCCTTGATCTATACACACGGGTGGAACGGCTGCGCCAATTGCGCCATTTTGCGCCAGACGCATATGTCTGCGCCATCCTGCGCCATGTTGCAGAAACTGCGCCACAGCCAATACCTCGCGCCATTATGCGCCAGATTGCAAAACGTGCGCCAAGAAACTTTTTATTTTGTCCTTGTTTCGGTTTTATTGACTCGATTGGCAACAATGAGCGCGTTCAGCCTGGTCGGCCTTGCAATACTTTGTTCTGTTTATTCTCCCTGTGTATCCCGAGTCGGAAGCGCGCGAAAAAACTCGGATTCTAAGCGCCACGCCACCTGCGACTGGATTGTTATTCTTCAACCATAAGCGGTTAAGCAAGTCGGCTGAGGTGAGGTCGAGTCGTTAAGCGTCAGATTGCCTGAGGCTCTGCGGCCCGGGATCCGGACGTCAGCCAGTTGAAAACAAATGAGCAAGATATTCCTTTTAGTACTTCGTCGTTAGAAGTTGGAACCGCATTCTCACAAGATAAATCGTGATTTGATTGAACTGAAACGCGGTCCGATTCGAAACCTTGCCGGCCAGCAGCTCTTTTGCGAGTGATAGATCTGCTCGGCGTACTTTAACCTTGCTCCTGCTTATCGCTTCAAATACGATAACTTCGTTAATCGTAGTCTGCCAGCTGCTTCGTAATCGAGTTGCGCAATAGGATAAACGCGAAATTTGTTGCCCTGTTCCTCCGTGCAACTGCACGTCCATTGCTTGCGCACGTCACGGGGTTCGCACATATAATTACTATGTCGAGCACGTGTGGGTTGTGCGATAAGCAGTGCTGGTTTGCATTTTGAGCAGCTGAAAGCCGCTCGGAAAATATCAAGGACGCTATCTTGAGAAACAGGGTACTGGCTTTTTGATTCTCATTAAGGCTCACAAAGTTTCAAGTTTTCGCATCTGTTACACTGTTATCCCATCTACCTAGGTCCCTAACCATTCATGTTCATCTGTTCTGCTAAGTACGACTGAAATTGCTCCCGTGCTTGTCTAAGACGCAAGCTGAAGTGCAATGAAAACTGATCTGAGCTGCTCCTAGCCTGCTCCAGAACGTAGTTTTAGCTGCTCCCAACCTGCTCCAAAACAGCTGTTTCAGCTGCTCCCGTGGCTGCTCCCAAGTACATTTCATGAGTTCCACCCCTGTACACACCAGCTGCAAGATGGCAGCATTTGGAGGCCATACTTGCAAACGATGTACAGTGCAACCTACTTATAACAATAATGAGAAAACCCGAAGTTTCAATTGTTATAACCGATTATCCTTGTATTTGGACTGGAAACTGATCTTTTCCAGTCTTGAAACTCTAGAAACTGATTGGTATAAGCGGTACGCAATATGTGTGGTATCGTTGTAAGTGGGTTGCACTGTAGTGAGGTCGAGTTTTGTTTTTGCAGAAAGCATCTTCGCTTATAAGCATCTATCTCACGAGGGGGGGTTCCATGTTTTCGGATAAATCCGAAAATCTCCGAAAAATACCTGCCAGTAGAATTTTGGTCAATTCAGATTTATTCGATAAACTCAAAATTTTGATGTGTCAATGCCCCCACCCTCTCTTTTAAAAAATGATGAAAAAATCTGTATTTGTCAACAGTCTTGGGAAACTGCCACCAGTTATCTTTCATATCTCTTACCATTGTCAAACTGGGTCTCAGCTCTTATCTCGTTAAGTTTCGTTCAGGACAACAGGTTTTTGTACTTTCGGATCAGAACAAAAGCTAGTGTTTTGGCTTCCAGCTTGGGTCATACTATTTGTGCCTTGGAAAAGAAAGGAGAGGTTGTGTTTTTTGTGACATTGAAAGCTATGGACCATAGAAATTGCATAAATGGGGAAGTGGGGCAGTTGAAACTTCTCAATTACATCCTTTACCACACTACCTCGTGCGGCTGTGGGGTAGGATGATGGAATAGGATGGGATGAATACGTGCTTCCCAGCGACTACCTCCGGGAGTTTATTGATTTTAAGGTATAAACATTTATCGAAGCAACATTTGTGTGCAACTTTTGTCGTGTGACAATTTAGCATTGCCAATGGCACCAATGCCAAATCAAGCTGAAGAAATATTAATTGATGCAAGCGTGTTTTATTTTTTTATCTAGCATACATTTACACCCCAATATTGTTTATTCATTTACTTTTAGAAGGAAACGCTGCGGAATTAAACTCGGAATTCCAGAAAATTAGGAATCAAACATGAATAAACTCTAACAAACTAAGAATTTTCGGCAAAAAGTAAACTCCAAAAGACACCCCTATGTTTTTGATGACAAATAAGCTTCGAAAACACGCAGTCCTACTTATGAGCACCCTAAATCTGTGTATTGGACTCTCAGTGTTGCAAGCATGCTTTGCTCCATTATCTCACTAGTGAGCTTACGTTAATGCCCTGCATCTTTTCTGTCTTGCAGTCAAAATGCCCTGGAGTACGAGAAACGCATCAGAGCACAGGCAAAATCCATGGCTTCTGCAGAATGAAGGAACTTTCATTTCTCCCATGTCATCTGTGCCCGTCTTGCACGTTTCTTTATTATTTTTTTTTAATCTCACAGATGGTCAGTTTCATCACCCAAAACAGATGAAAAGAAATTTTATTTTCTGAATTAGGTCAGCCTTATATCTTCATTTTCCTTTCTGTTTTTCTATCGAAGATAATGAAATGTTGGTGGCTGAAGTCCGCAACTGCTGGCGGACGACGACGCCGGCAGGTTGCAAAAGTTTTATGGAAAGTTGGCTACCCTGGGTCGGAGGGGTTTTCTGGAGACTAGAGGGCCCCGATGGTATTGTCCTGTCTAGTTTGGCGAATGTCTGTGGTCTCTACGTTGTAAATAAAAACCACTTTTTGATGCATAGGCTACTTCTTTGCAGACACACTGTGGTCTTGTTGGGATCAGCGTTTTGTTTGTGTGGAATGGGGCAGTTTTGTTGATCACCAAGCCTCTTTTAGGCATTGGTAGTTTTTTTTTTTTGCAAAATGTTGAATATTTAAGATATTTTTTAGCCTTGACCCAATAAATTTGCATCTAGTGAGTTGTGCATTAGTGATAGTTGCAGTTTTATATGTGAGCACTTTTTTTCTTGTCTTCGATTGCAAAGAAATTTGGTTTTGTGATCTAATGTTCAGCGTGCCCCCAGTAACACGTAAACAAAGTGAAAAAAAAAGTTTAATGAAGTAAATTAGTTGTATGTGACTTAAATAAGATTTTTTTTTTTTTATTTATATCAGATTGATATATATAATTTTCTTTAAAGCAGGAACAATCGCAACCTATTATGACGAAGCAGGTTGATTGGTGAATCCATCCGATTATTGAAGCATGTGGACGAAAGAATTATTGGACAATTTCAGTACACCTCAATTACGAACTTTTTAGTTTGTACATCCCGCTATACTTGAACAAATGCAGCTTTTATTTTTTTTAGTAAAAGTTAATTCTGAGTTTTGATCTGCATGTAGAAAAAAAGCTCAACTTCTGGATCCACTCTGAAGAGCACTGCTTTTTTCTCATGTTCAGCCTGCTACCATCTTTCTCGCTAGATGATTATTTGAGTTAAATAAAAAATGAAAGCCGTTTACAAATCCCTGTAACGCCGAATTGGAGCGCAGCTCTTGAGGAGGACTAGGGAAGGGCACTGAGGGGGGTCACGTGATCTCGGGGGAGGGGGAGTCACGTGAACCCCCCCCCCCCCCCCCGGTTACGCCGACGCCGCTCAGGCTGGAAACGGGCCCCTAAGAGCTGCGCTCTAAAAAACAATTTGCATTGAAATTTTCCAAAGCTCGCCTCTTCACTGCATTTCCAAGAAAAGTTGTCACCGAGTGTAGTGAAAGGTTTGATTTAAAAGGGCGCTAAAACTGGTGCGATTTGAATCTTAATATAAACCGCGATTTCAATTGCGAGTTTTATTCTCTACCCTGCAGGTAAGCCCTGGTTTCTTTGCAAATTGCGATGTAATTATAGGCTCATTCCCCTGAATTCCCTGGTGGCCCAGCATCCACTTCAGTGTTACGGTGAGGTGAGGGTGCATTCTCATCAACGAGCTGTAGAGGGGCTTAGAGCGATAAACTGGTGGCTTGTTCACCAGGCAAAAGTGACCCCACTTGGCTGCCGCCATGTACAATTTTGACCACCAGACTCGCAACCGTACCAAATCCTGAGGCCTTTACGCAAAACTGAGCCGAGATTTGTTTCGCAATCGCTGTAAAGAACCTGATAAACCATTTTTTCGATAAGTCTGTCCCAGAGATCAGTGTTGAGCTCCGATGACTCGAAATACCGCACCGTGGCTGACGGCATCTAGCGGAGGCATTGCGAAGTTGCCCGAGTTTTGGTCGTAGAAGCACATTTTGAACTTAAAACGGATGAAACATAACTTATCTCGTCGGTATCGTTATAAATGATCAATAGGCAATTATTTGTGCACTGTACTTCCTTAAAATCTAGATGTAAAACTATAAGGTATCGTGTCTAGTGGTTGAAAATGTGCAACATGGTGGAGGCCAATCAGAGGTCACTTTAGCTGCCAGTTTATCGCTCTAAGGCACTCCACCTCGTTGGTTCTCATGTACCCGTAGAGTATATAATGTGAATGGTGGCCCGGCAGCATCTGCAACTCGAATTCCTGGAGGGCTCCTTGACTATCGGTGCACACAGTTATATCGGGGTTGAGCGCTTGTGGAGAGTAATGGCCTCTGTGATGACCTGAACCTCCGCTGCAGTTGGTGAAGAGACGTCTGAGCAGAAACGCGTCGACGGGGAGCGGGCGCCCACAACAATCGTGACGACGTAGCGGGGTAGGACTTTTTCGTCTGTGAAATACGTGTCATGCGAAGGTATTAGATGTGTTGCCTTGTCCTGTCAGCTTTGCTGGTCCGCCTCGATATTCATGTGTTTAGGTATGGGGCGGACAGGGATTTCGGTATGCTGTCCCATGGAGGGGGCCCTGGAGGAATTCGGAGAAGGTGGTCCGTTGGGTGACCAGGAGTTTGAGAAGAGCCCTTCCCTCTTTGGAAGTGGTCAGTTTCTGAAGCTGGGCTGTGTGGTGAGGTTCTGGCTGCTCTTGGAGGGTATTGAAGAGTGCGGTGTCCTTGAGTTTGAAATTTGGCGCGTAAATGGAAACTCCGAGTGCCGTGCGGGTGCATTTGCGGGGGGTCTTATATCTTGTTGCAATGGGGAACAGTTAATCGTTGGTAGGGGTACGCGTACATGAGACGGGAGTATGCCATGGCTTCAATTACTTTTCGAAGCTCATGTTCTCGTAGACCTTTGCGTTGTCTCATGATCCGCTGTATCTTGTGAACTTGTTTGATTTGTTTGAAGGGCAACTCCGGCCAAAACTCAAAATGAGGTAAATTACTGGTATCGCTGTAGTTACACAAAATACGACCCCAGCCAAAATATTACGTCCGTGGGACGCCGCATTCTCGACTAATGCCGATAATAAAAATGCGACCCGCCTCGAGCCGCTGCTCCTTAGCGGGTGGCCAGCGGGTTGCTGATCGCTAAAGCAACATTGGGCTGTGACGTCAGTATCGTTCTCTTCTTTTCCTTCGGTCCGGGCATTGCGCGGAGTGCACTTCTTTAAGCCGCTACCACCGCTACTTCGGCATGTGATAGGCGTGTTTAGCCATTGCTTTTGTCTGTAGCCTGTCTAGCTTCAGTATAGCCTTTTGTTTATTTGCTTGTGAGGACTCCAAGGCTCGTTTTAGTGAGCAACTCTGTGCGCCCAAGACTGCCCAGCTGTTCCTCGAAAGATGTCGGGTGCAACTTGTAGCGCTGTGGTCTGCTCAAACAACCCGCTGCGCAACACCGAAGTGCTTTTTCATAAGTTTCCAACGGACCGGAAATTGGAGAAGGTGTGGGTGAACGCTGTTCGACAAGTAGACTTTGGACTTCGACTTTCACACGCCCGAGGAAAAAATAACGAAAAAACAGACGTGTACAGTTCAGCACACGTGTGTTCGGGCGCCGCGGCCTGTGCCGGGGAGCCTCAAAGCTTTGTGTCTGGGACTGACCCGCAGCGCGAAAGCGAGAGGGCCCCCCAGTACTGTACGTCACTGGCAGCGCGGCGTAGAGCAACGCCGCTCCATCCACGGAGCCCCGATGACAATTTAGGCCCAGCGACGAGTACGGAACCGCACACACGGCGACAGTCGCCGAGTACAACACCGAACGAGTTCACACTCGTTTTCCAGGCGCTAGTTTTTGGGTATACCAGCAACGAGTGCGGCATAGCGCACGCACAGCGGCGGCCGCCGAGTACGGCACCGTACGAATTCATGGGTTTTCCAGTCGCTAGCTTTTGGGTATAAGCACTAACTCTTGCTGCATATGCTGGATAACTACCAAATATACAGAATTAAAACAAAATCAGCTTGCCTCCTTTCTTTAGACGGCTAGCGCAACAGAGGTAGGTGCCACTTGGCCTGCGTACTCGAAGGAGAACGATCCTGACGTCACGTTACATAGCGGCTGATTTTCAGAGTTGCCGGGGCCTCGAGCGGCTAGTTTCGGTTTTGTTGGCCGCGCCCCAAACAAAACTTTGAGGCGTCGATATCTTTAAAACTACGCACAATACCGCGAAAAAAAATTACACCTTGCAATTCAGGGACGTTGACTGCACTAGAAACAGTCATAAGTCCAAAATCGAAAGTATAGACCGGAGTTGCCCTCTAAAGATGGTGGGGACCCATACTGGTGCTGCAACCGTCCTGCTGGAGGAAGAAGCCGAGAATCTTACTGTGGGGTCAGCGAGGTACAGGGTCCTGATCTAGACAGAGCTTGATGAGCTTCCCGTACACACTGGCTCATTTGGTGTCGTCGTTGACGACGATGGTGAACTCTGATTTTTCCGTGGAGCAGGTGAGTCCGATACTTGTCACGTAGGCGTTGATGAGGCCACTCTGGAGAATGGACTCTTGTTCACCTGGGCTGCCAGTCGTGCACCAGAGTGTGACGTCATCCGCGTAGATTGAGTGCTGGGGACGGGATGGCCACCAGTTTTCCAGGGAGGTTCTTCATAGTGAGATTGAAAACGGACTGGGAGAGTATGGAACCTTGGAAAGTGCCTCTCGACAGAGGGGTCGGAGAGTTTTCCATCTGGGCCCCGGATACGTATGGTGCAGTCCGTAGGAAAGAATTTTATATAGGTGAAAAGGCGGACTCCCGGACGGGTTTCCACCAGGTTGGTGAGTATGGTAGTGTGATCCACATCAAAGGCGTTGACAATATCACACCGAAATTTCTTAAGAGAACTAAAAATTACATTTCCATTTTTCTTTGCAAAATATTTCAACAATCTGTTAACCTTGGCGTTTTACCAGACGACTGGAAAATTGGGAAGGTGATTCCGCTTCACAAATCGGGCAGTAAACATAACCCTTCCAATTATCGACCCATTTCCCTTATCAGTACTCCCTGCAAAATTTTAGAGCACGTAATTTACTCACATCTTGCTAACTTTCTTGATTCAAATTCTTTTTTTACTGCATCACAACACGGTTTTCGCAAATCACTGTCCTGCGAAACCCAGCTTATCACTTTCACTAATGACCTACTTTCCATCCTCGACCGTGGTTCCCAGGTTGATTGCGTCTTTCTAGATTTCTGTAAGGCATTCGATAAAGTCTCTCACAAACTTTTACTTTTCAAGCTCAGTCACTTGCATGTTGATCCTAATATTTTGTCTTGGATTGAATGTTTTCTTACTAATCGTTCTCAGTTTGTGTATACTAATGATGCTAACTCTTCTCTAAGTCCAGTCACTTCCGGTGTCCCCCAAGGGTCCGTTCTGGGGCCCTTATTGTTTCTTATTTACATTAACGACTTACCTACGTGTGTATCCTCTTCTATTAGCTTATTTGCCGACGACTGTGTGATATATCGTGAAGTTACTAATGAATCCGATTCACTCCTCCTCCAAAATGATTTGTGTGCTGTATCCCAATGGTGTGAATTGTGGCAGATGTCCCTTAACATTAACAAGTGCAAGTCTATGAGAGTTTCTCGTCGTCACACGGTTCTTCCACCTCTCTCAATTTGTAACACTCAACTTCAGTCTGTGACCTGTTACAAATACCTGGGTGTCTATATTACCTATAACATGTCATGGAAAACCCACATTGACCACATTATTGCTAACGCTAACTCTATGCTCGGTTTTCTAAAAAGAAATTTTACACTGGCCCCCGTTTCTTTGAAATTACTGCTTTATAACTCCCTGGTCCGGTCAAAATTAGAATACGCTGCTGCAATCTGGGATCCCGGTCACTCGACACTTATAACTAACCATGCAAAATCGCGGAGTTTGTTTCATACTTTCTAACTATCATCATACAGCAAGCGTTTCCTCCATGAAACTCAGTCTATCCCTACCCTCCCTCTCTTTACGTCGCAAAATATCGCGCTTGTGCCTCTTTTACAAGATCTATCATTCTAACACGTCATTGAAAGATAAACTATTCCTTGAGCCCCCATTCATTTCTCCGCGTTTTGATCATCCATTCAAAGTTGGTGTCCCTCATTGTAACACATCAGCCTTTTTGAACGCGTTTATTCCAAAAACATCTCTTGAGTGGAACCACCTTCCCGCTTCGTTTGTTAATATACCTTCAATTGATTTATTTAAAAAAACCTTATCTGCTCACCTTTTGTCGTGATTGTCCTTTTGTTTATTTTTTGACCAGAGTGCTGTGTTTCGAGCTGTTGATGTTTATTCTCGGCTGTGTTTGCTCTCTTTTTGTACCCTTTTTTTTTTTTTTTTCATTTTTTGGTTGCCCCACCCCCTCTGTAATGCCTTTTGGCCCTGAGGGTATTGTAATAAAAGGCCTTGATATCAATTCCAGCTATGGTGCGCAGTTGTGCCGTGCTTGGAATGGCGTAGACGTCTTGCATCCCGTGTGCCACGTCCTGGGTGCTCACGTGAGAACGAAAGCCCACCATCATATGAGCAAGGTGTTTGTGGTGTTCAAGGTGCCAGTTGAGGCAATGTGGAGCCATCTTTTCCATACACTTGCCAAGGCAAAAAGTTGTAGATATAAGACAGATTGTGACTGTTGTGGGTGGCTTGCCGGGTTTGGAAATGACAGTGACATTGACTTTCTTCCATTCGGGGGGGATGGTTCCCTCTATCCAAACCTCGTTGATGTGTTCGAGGAGTTGATGTGTTCATACTTGCAAAGCACATCCACACGGCATCGATTCTTGATTGGTATCTACGCCTGCAAAGGCAGAGAGACGAAGCACTTCGGCGTGCCAAGGAAGCTTTGATCACGCCGTGAGGCCGGCAAAACTTGCTTTCGACGCGTGGTGCCTTTTTCCTGCAGCACTCCGCTTTGTAAAATTTTCCCTCTGTTCTCAATGGCAATTTTTGACGCTTGCAGAGGGTTTTAAAAAACTTCTTCAATGAGTGATGACGAACGAGTAGAAAACATGGCCTCAGCATGCTGCCGCCAGCCTCTGCAAAGCTAGCAGAAACACAATTTTGCCACATGCAAGATGGCCGCCTGGTGGCTTCACTGGCGCTGCAGCGACAGTGTGTAAAATTGTCGAAATCGTTAAACCTTGTCACAAACAATCATGACAAAATCGACAATGATCATTGATTTTGGGGAGCTCACGTTTTAAATATTAAATTTATTTCTTATACAACTTATCACTTTAATTAAATTATAAAGGTGAATACATTTGTGTTTACGGAAACAAAATATTGTATTAAATGGGAATTTCAGAAACAAAACAATTTTTCGATGTGGCAAGTTCTGTAAACGGCTACACCGCGGCTTCAAGGCGCTCCAAACGCTAAACGCAAACGGGAAGTTGTCTGCTTTGGAGGCGTATCCGAAGAAGTCACGTTGCAGCTGCGCTTTCGGCAAATCTTTGTTTCTCGTTTTTCTTTCCTCGTTGGTCGCACATTTCGACCAAGGCACGAACACGGTGAGTATTTCGCAAACTGTTGTAACACCGCACCGTTAACCTGAAGCGAAAACAAACAAACAAAAATCTACGTCGACAGTCACACGGCCTACCTTGAAACCTGTACTGCTCATGGCCAAATGTCATTGACATCCGACCTGCCACATCTGACCGAAGTGCACAAACAACCATCTCGAGGGGTGGCCAGGGTCTTGAAGCTTCGTCGTTCGGATGGTTCGGATGTTGCTGGGTTATTAATTACTCGATACGTCGTACAAGACAAACACGGAGCGACCGTGATGTCGTTGCGTCATCGGCACGAGGAACTACACGGAAAATGATTATCGCATCGATCTCTTCTTTTTTGTGCTTGTTTTGTGCAGTTTAGCGAAGATTGCCGCTTTTAACTGTTGTAAGCAGATATACTTAACGTCATATATCCCACGTGGTGATTGATAAAAAAAAAAGGATATGCCAACGTGATCAACGTTTAAATTTGAGCTTGTACTTGCGAGCGCTTCTTTAAAAATTGCTCGCGCTCGTGCCATTTCTTTTTTTTTTTTTTTTTTTGCACGGAGAAGGAAGGAAATAGACGGAACTATTTTTTTACATTGAATTAATGGGTCAGTTTTAGTAGCACAAGGGCTGAATTTAACCAAAGAATGCCAACGTCAGAACGAAAAGAAATCGATTACGTAATTAGTAAAGAATGGCTATGCTGCTTAATTATTATTTATTTTATATATTTTTAGCGCACTCTGCACTATATATTGGTGCAACAGGCGTCACGATAGCGCTGCATCTGAAAAGTTGTGGATTTCGACCGTAGTTCTTCGTACTCGTCCATTTAAGGTCACGCGCGACGCAGCTGAAACTTGGATTTTTTTTTTTTTTTTTTATATCTTTTTTTTTTTTTGTCAAGAGTTTACTTGTTTTTATAAACACAGGTGCACAATGATGTGGACATGCAACAGGTGTGCTTATTCACTTGGTGTGATATATCGATCATGTTGTCAGTGTCTGTTGCTACAGATCTCTAGACAATAGATCCTTTCCGGAGTTCAGTGCCATCTGGTGACTCAAATGGCAGTTTAACTGTTACCATACTAATGGCGGCGATAAACCTGTGGTCTGCAGTACTGTATGGGGCACCGTCACTTTCGCAAGTCAACGGTACATGAGAATGCGCGCATCACTGACCAGTTCTTTTTAAATCCCTTTCAGTGTCGATGGCGAAAAAGATGCAACCAGTCAGAACGAAGCGCCAGTGCACATAAACGCCTTGATGAATTTCTAATCATCAAGGGGCTTAATTTGAAGTTGAGTGTGTGCTACTAACAGATTGTCTGGGCCCGAGTTAGAAATGAACCCTTGCGCAGCTTTTGCATCCGATTCCTGCTTCATGTCGCGCTAACATCTTGAATGTATAGGCATCGAATCATCTGCTTAGGAGCATCTTCAACTTCTTTCATCACTAAACAGAAGGCCGCCATTAGTATAGCGCACATGCCATTTTTCAGATGGTGATAGTGATCAAAGTTGCAAGTCTGAATTCCAGAAAGGGTCTATTGCATAGGGATTCCTCTCGGATTAAGTGTGCATGGCGATGTTTGAAGTTGGATTAGATTATTTTTAGATATGAATTGATAATTTGTTAGTTGTATTATGTGGAAATTGACTCCTTGCTCTAGCTTTATGAGATCTGTTATGGTATATATTTTGCTTCAGATGCCTCGGACCTGAGTATGAGGTCACATGAACATATATGCTAAAACATTCAAAACGACCGTCAACGGTAAAAGTATAAAAACGGACAATGCACCGACAAGCCGTAATTGATTTTACAATTCCAAACAAAAGTCCCTTGAAATTCTCGTAGTGTGAGTCAACATTTTCTTTCCCAAGTAGACTATTATGTGAAGCAACGAGTGGATGCGTATATATATATATCAGGGTGTCGAACCGGAACCGAACCAAACCGAAAACCGGAACCGAGCCGGTATTTTTTTCCGGAACTGAACCCGAACCCGAACCGTTATATTGTTATCGCGATGAACCCAAACCGGAACTGAGCCGGAAAAAAAAAATAATAGTTACCGGCTCATGTCAAAACGGTTCGACCACGCGCTGTTGACATTGAATGTGCTATCAATGCCATTTGTTTTTTAAGTGCCGTCAACTGACAGACACTTCGCTTACATATTTTTCTTCTCCACTCAGTCTTAGGAATATAAACGCTGCATCCATGAATCTTGACAAACGCTGCATCCATGAATCTTGACATAGGAACCAGTATTGTGCTGGTCGTGGCTTGCACGGAAGAAAAAAAATTGGAAGGCTGTGCAAAAAAAAAAAAATTGCGTCACGGGATTTCATTTTCCTACAATCTCGTAAATCCTAAATGCTGCTGTGTGCTCATTTCATAACACGTTTCTAAAACGCGAGAGTTCTTGAAGCTTGCTTCCATCGGAATGAGAAAAGAAAAGGCTGTGGAGTTTGATAATAATGCATCCGGTTGAAGCTAACATGTTTGTGAGACAGCGAACTCTTCTATTTTAATATTTATCCTATTACGTCCTTCTGGCGTTGCGTTCGGTGAAGTGTTTTTCATATTCCGTATCTTGTTTAATGAAAACTTCTTTAAGGGTCTAATTTGAGTTACCGAAGGCTAGTTCAAATAAAGAAAGCTGTATTTTCTCCCCACTGTTCCTTCAATTGCTTACACGCCGAGTTGGCGGGATAGTTAGCGGGTTCTACTTGTAAGTGGGTTTGTAAGGAGGATGCGGATTTTACAGCTACTGCGTCGGACCCAATTAGATGAAGTCTGAATGTGTAAACGTCGGTGAGGTAACCTTTGAGTGCACATAAAGAAACCATTCCTGGTAGAAATCCCTGAGCTTTACACTACGATGTATCCCGTTTCGTATGTGCTGATTTCAGATGTTTTATTTGTAATTTATTTTGATGTTGCAATTTGTCATTTATAATTTCCGAACCGGTTCGCGAACCGGTACAGCGCCCCAAACCGGTTCGCGAACCGGTTCGCAGATCGAATTAATCGAACCGGAACTGAACCGGAACAAAATTAATTTACCTGAACCGTAACCGAACCCGTATTTTTTTCGGTTCGACACACTGATATATATATATATATACACACACACATCCACTCGTTGCTTATATATATATGTATATATCGTACAAATGTGTTGACGATATAATTTTTGAATACCCATTTTACGAAAGCATAATTTCAGAAAGAATACAATGAAAAGGAGAATCTTTGCAGCAATTAATTGGTCTATCTTCTACTTTTTGTTTCTATATGGAACGAATTACAGAAGAAAGTGATTGTGAAAACACACACACATACATACAAAATGCAGATGTCTTTTTAATGAAACAAGGGCCTGAAACTCTAGTCTCATTTGGTGCAGCACAAACTGTTCTATCTCTTGTAACCTTTCACTTGAATGAATTCGGTTGATCTTTTATTTATTTTGTGCGAGTGCTTCATATGCAAGAATAGGGCTAGTAAAAATTCTCACCATAGCAGAGGGTTAAGTCTGCTTAAACTCTCAAACTTTGGGAAACTTTGTATACGGTACACAAGTTTGTCTGCGTCTGGTGCAGGGGTTGCAATGACGTCAGAATGCCGAGCTCCGATTCGCTCAATTGGGAGGGTAGTGGATAGTTCTCAAGGCAGCTAGCATTGAGGTCCACCCATTATCTCCATCAGAGCAAATCAGAGCTGATGTCAGTGCAACCACTGCACAAGAATCAGACAAACTTCCGCTCCCCATAGAGACCATGCAACCTCATCAGGGATCATTATTAGGAGCCATGCAAACTTGCAAGGGACCATTCTACCATAGTATAGCTAGGGGCCACACATCAATATCACGGACTAGAAAAACATTAGGAACCATGGAGCATCATTAAAGAGCACTGTAATGCACAGTGCAAGTTTGTCTGCTTTTTTTTACTGGGGTTGTAGTGACATCAGAATTCCGAGCTCTGATTGTCTGCGATTGAAGGATAGTGGGTAGACCTCATGGCGAACTAGAACCCCTGCAAAAAAAGCGGACGATCTTGCACTCACCGTAGAGACTATACACCATCATTAGGGACCAAAAGGTCGTATTATAGCATCCTCGATCATCCACACCGCGGCACCAAGGTGCACCCCGTTTTCTTCGATCAAGTGCACCGGTGTGCACCGGTCGTTCTCGATCAACGGAGCGCACCCTCCTGGTGCAGCTTTTTGTTACCTTGACGCTCACCAAGAAAATCGACGGCGCACTGGGGTGCCGTCCCCATTGGGCATTGCTGCCAGGAGCGGGAATCGAGGAGATGGCGGGAATAGCAGACACCAACGTTGGCAGACGTCTATCAAGATGGCGACCTTGTGAAAATGAACACATCTCGCAGCGGCGTGCGCTGAATTCCCCAGCTTTTCTGACGCCGAGGACGACCAGCTTCTTACCATCGCGGCAATTACTGGTAATGGCTGCGGTGGCAAGGAGTGCCCAAAAGTTATGAACTTCATGGAAAGCGTTGTGAGGCATTTCGATGACACCGAGGCAACTGAGGTACGGGTATTATCTGGTGGTACTCTCTCTTGAACCAACAGTAATGGGCAAAATATACCTGTGGAATTGTAACCCGCTTTTTGACTCCGTCAACCATCATGTCCAGTTCATTTGTGTGGGACTGCAAGATCCACGAGTCATAAGCCAGGAGAAATTCACGGCAGACGGGCACCGCGCACGGACGTACGCGAGAAGAAACAAACTAAACGCGAGGTGTTGCATGATGGCGCAGTTTGCCCTTGATGTTGCACCAACTTCGCGCTGCGTGACTGAGGAATGCTGTGCACTGTCCTGGTTTCAGGGCGATTCCAGTAATAGTTGATCTAATGCTATTAGACAACATGCAACCATTATAGAAACTAGTACTTCATCATTGGGAACTATACAGGGTCTACGAAAATAAGAGACTTCTTCAATTGTATTACAGTATTAGGAATCCGACTTATGTGGCCTGTTTAACCTAGCTAGCAGTATGATGGCATGCCTACATAAACATTTCTTAGCAGTCTCCCGTCCTCACAATGATTGTCGCATGTTACAGATGCTTCGCCAGCGTGGCACTGCCACGGACTCTACCGTCCATGAGAAGAAGGGCGACGGCTCTTCTTCGTCAGCAAGCTCCGCCAAGAACTCTCTGAAACCGGCCCGCAACCAAGCCAAGACCAGCCGGCTCTTTTCCCGGCTACTCAGCTTACTCGTCTTGGCTATCCTTGTCATCTATGTCATCATCCCGGGCCTCTTCTATGCGTCCCCATGGATTCGACGGCAGACAGTGTTTCTCACCTTCGTCAACATTCCTCCTTTCCCGAACCTGACCAGCCCCGAGTATTATGGACTGCGGTGCGGGCAGAACCTGTACGTCCAATCGGAGCCCTCCGTCCGTCTGGGGGTGTGGTACCTGCCGCCCGATTCGCTCGTGCGCGCGTCGCCCGAGGGATGCGGCGGGGCAACGGAGGTGCGTGATTGGCTGGCGCGGGACGACCGGCCTGTTGTGCTGTACCTCCATGGCAACGGGGGTTCGAGGGCCGGCGCACATCGCGTCAGTCTTTACAAAGTGAGTTGCACAAAAGTTATCAAGGGTGTGCTCGTTTGTTACGGCTCTATTTGCTTGTATGGTGGTGTAGGACTTCTATTTGCTCATTCCTGTCATTGCAAAGTGAGGAATGTGCACGAAATGTTTTATTATCACAAAAACAAAAGATAAGATTTATAAAATCTTAGTTCGTTGAGTTCACTGCCGGAATATATTTCAACGGGAAGACCGACACAGTAGAACTTCTCTTTAGTTTTGTCACTTTTTCAAAAAGTATATGTTCACTCTGTCAGTATTTCAAACGACTGTGCCGGTATTACGTGGACTTGATCTTTGCATATCACAATACGCATATCTTTGTTATATCGCTGTTCCCTATGAACACATACTAGTGTAGGTATGAATGTAGTGAAGCAAACTTGCACTCGTAATAGTCCTACACAGACATTTATGGTTCTGATATGCTGAAGATCTCGTTTTCCTCGACAAGCTGGCCTCATTCTACTGTATTGCTTTTCGTTGCTTGAACCGTCATTTGCCTCCCCGTTGTAGAGGCCCAAACCTGTTTGCTCCCAATCCTTGCAGGTGCTCTCCAAGCAGCTGCACGCGCACGTGATTGCCGTGGACTACCGCGGCTACGGCGACTCCTCCGCCGTCGCGCCCACCGCTGCGTCCATAGTCACCGACGCCGAGGCCGTCTACCGCTGGGTGCGCGAGATAGCCCCGCCGGAGAAGAAGGTCCTCGTCTGGGGACACTCCTTGGGCACCGGTGTGTCCGTCTACCTCCTATCCCGCCTCTCTAAGCCGTCTGCCACCCCCAAAGTCCGTCTCCCGGACGGTGTCCTTTTAGAGGCACCCTTTGACGCACTGCACAAGGTTGCCCAGTTCCACCCTCTGTCTATTTTCCATCGGTACCTTCCATACTTTGAGCCGGTGTTCGTGGAGAGCATCCGCGACGACGCCGCTGCCAACTTCGACAGCGTGTCGCAGGTGGCGTCGGTGGCGCCGCAGACACCGGTCATGGTGCTGCACGCCAGGGACGACGGCATGGTGCCGTTTGCGCTCGGGCGCAACCTGTTCGACGTGTTTGAGGCGTCGCGGAAGGGCGTGAAGGACGCCGCGCCGGTGCGGTTTGCGGAGTTTGAGGCATCTGGCGGCTACGGGCACAAGCACATTCATCGGAACCAGGATCTGCCACGGATCGTGAGCGGGTTCTTCACGGGCATCTTTGTCAAGAAGGTCAAGTGAACAGGCTTGAAGTAGGTGTTTTGAGGGCCGTCCATGCGGGCGTACGAAGTGGGCCGGCTAGATCTTGCCCACTTCATACGAATCTCAAAAATCGGTTTCGCGTGGTTCAATGCCATAATTTGCCACAAAAGTGTGGCTAAGTGGTGCATTTTGTTACATAAATATAGCAAAGTAGAAGCTTAACTGAGTCCAAAGATACGAATAAAGTAAAAGATACGAAAGTAAAAGAAAAAAAGAATGTTTTTTGTAGCTTATTGGAGCATTTTATTGGACAAGACAGCCAATGATGGCAAAACCGTTCAGGTTTTCCTCACTCTTTTTTGTTGTCGTTATATAAATGTTTTGAGTAACCCACAAAAATATTTTCCTTTTTTTTTTTCACATTATATGAAAAAGTAATTTCATAATGATCTGTAGAGAAATTGGGATTTTTCTTTCTCACTTGATCGAAGAAGTTTTCTTGAATGTTTCCCAGTAACAGATCCACCACCTATCCACACCTATCCACGGCAAATTACACTGCAGGTGCTTGAGAAACAGATTTTCGAGATTTATTTCGAGTGGATGAGATTTGTTTGGCTTCCTCTGTAATCGATGCAACACGTTAAAGCATTCAAAGCAAATTTGCTGGCTGGGCACGACGCCTTGAGCCCAAGAGAGTGACTGCGGGCTATAAATATATTGGATGCAGCGTTAGCAAGTGACGCTGCCGGAGGCGTGGTACTTTGTCCATGAAATTTGCCACAAACACTTGGCGCATCCATGCATGTAAACGGTTTTTTAGCGGGTTGTACATATGACCGCAAGTTTTGACCACTAGAGAGCTTGCTCTACCGTGTCCTCGCATTATAGGCGACTCCAAACCGCCGACCCCATCGGTTCCACTACCCAAAAAAATTGGGCAGAGGCATTTTTATATATTTTTTTATTTTAACTAACAGTTCTGGCGAATATTTTTGATCGGGATAGACTAAAGCAATTGCGTTACATAAGCTGTCCAAGTCGCTAACTATGACCTTGTCTGAAGGAAAGTTTGACCTGCTTTGTCTTCCAACTGCAAGTTTAGCTAGAGTCGGGGGCAGTGTGCGACAACACTATCAACCGTCCTGCCGACGTTGGGTGATGTCATTGGCCAAGTCTTCGGAAGAAGTTCTTCGACCGTCGCTGTTTGCTGGAACATTAGGTTGTGCTGTCTGATGGGAGCGTTTACGGGAAAGAAGTGGCGTTGTCTCTTTTTAGGGAATTGGGGGGCCTGGGTAACTCGGTAACAGTGTAAGCAAATACAGCGCACGCTGGGGCTGGGGCAACCAGCTTTGAGCTTGACGCCACAAGCAGGCCGGCTTGCCCCATACGCCGTCGTCTGTTTCGGATGCAAAAGGTTGCTCGGGAGTATGGAGTCGGCATAGGTGAGGCTGACACGCCAAGCGAAGAATAGTGAGATTTTGAAACTCCGCGAGCGTCGTTGAGGTCGAAGAATCGCCTCGGCATCTGCAGATCTGTCAAAACATGTTCGATGGAAATGTTTGATCCGATGTGAGATGACTTGTAGTGCCTTCTCTGTTGACCCCTAACGTTGTCCTTTGTTCGTGACATGATCAGATCGAGAATTCCAAATTTTTATCTGTTGTCCGACAATTAAGGATTTAGGTTGCAAAGAGTCTCGAGGATTGTGTCCGATTGCTGACTGTATTCACTCACATCACGCAAAGAACTCCCTTTGTTTCCTTAATTCAGTGTCTTTTTGTTCTGTAATCAGCACAGGCCTTCACACATTGGCACTTCCTTTGTTAAAATTATAAAAAAAACTACATACCGAAATGTATGTTTGGGATGGAAGGGGGGGTCAGGTCAGGTTAGGTTATTTCAGCTGACACCGGTCATAACTACTGTCACGAAGTGAGATTAGTATCAGTGTGCAACTAAAACCCCTGTGGCAGGTTTTTAGGCTCACAGGAACCTGCGGGGCACTCTTGCAAGGTAAACATGGGAGTCTTGTTTATTCATGAGGAAGTAACCGCTTGGCCGTGGTCATTTGTCAGCTTTTTTTGGGGCTGGCCTCGGATTCTTGTTACCTTTTGTAGCAGGCCAATAGCGTTATCTTGCGGTTGTCGGATTGACAGACGTGACTCCAGTGTTTCTTTTACAGTAGTAGAGTGTGGTGCTGGTTAAAGGAAAGAAAAAAAAAAAAAAAAAAGCCGTAATCGTGAATTTAATTTTTTTTCGAGAGTTTAGTATATTAGCAAATATAAGCTTCATATCAGTGCAATCTCGTGCCTTTTAGGTGTCCTGGATGTTTGTAACTTGTGCCATTTGCGCTGTTGCTGACGGTTCAACTCTCGGATAGCCAAAACTGGCATTTTGTTGTGGCAGTGACTCGGCGCATGTAGACCTCGTTGCTCTTTGGAAGGTTTGAGTATTTTACCGCTTGCCATTGGCCAAACGTTAATGTGCCATCCATGCACATTAACGTTTGGGTCAGTTTGTAGACTATAATAAGGCAAATGGTGTCAAAGATGCGGACAAGACGAGAACTCGAGCAAACCACAGTGCTGTGGATTGATCCTCTCATCTTTTCTCGCGTTTTTTGCATTGTATTTTACTGAATTCCAAGGATGAACTTCTGGCGAGCTTTTGATACTGGTGTTTGACTTGATTATCGTCAGCACGTGGGGAGTCTAGGACCAGAGAGTGCCTTAGGGACGAGTATATGTTTATAATTTATAGGATGTTCCGCAAATGCAGCTTTACCCTGTGGCCGGCATTCCGATATTTGTGGGTGCTGCTTTGGTTGTTTATTTTTGCACATTTAGAAGAATGCCTAAGATCATTATGTATGTGTTAGTACTTTTCTTGACAGCCGGTTATAATTTATACGTGATCGCAGAGCGCATATTTTTGTACTGCTGCATTATATAGTGAATAAAAGTTACTATACTCTGTATCTGTGTTTCTATATTTCTTAATAATAATAGTAGTGAAAGTAGTTAATCTTCTGCTAATATTCATAAACAGCTTTGAGGTCCTGGTTTTTTGATGCTCGGAGATACTGAACGCTGCGATGACCAGACAACTCGATGCAATGAAAACAAAACCGGAACTATACGCGTTTGCAAGTCCGGCTTCAGGGCGCTGCCATCTTGCCTGTCTGGGGTGCGCTTGGACCAGTCATAATCCGATTACGAAGCCTTGCTAAAGCGTCGTAATCGGATTATGGCCGCTCCCGAGAGCGCACCCCACTGAGGAAGATGGCGGCGCCCTGAGACCGGACTTGCAAACGTGTATAAAACATTGAACCTATGTGCCTAAAGTTTACTTCTTTCATTAATTTTTAAATTAAAAATACTTTTAAGACCTAACTAATATTTTTAAAGCTTTTAGTAGGCTCTAGGGGCAAACCTGTGACACAGCAGAAAATTATTTCTAAAAATGCGTTTGGGAGGCCGCCAACAGGGGCCCAAGGAACACTCAATGAGGTCAACGAGCCTGCTCAGTGCCCATGTTATGGTGTACTAGAACTGGGCAGTGTGTCGTCCGCGCCGAGAAGCAACGGAGGGAGGAGGTCAGCGCAGCGATGACGGCGCGCGAGGATGCCAGGGGGCGCTGCGGGTAACAGGCGTGCTCCTTCCCGCTCGGATTGCCGTGTGGTCGTACTGCTTGTGATCGCGTGGTTCGCGTCGTCGCCTTGTTTTGCTGCAGTTTTTTCTTTTTTAATGGTTGAGTGAAATGGATTGTGATCGGCGCCGTTCAGTGTGGTGTAGACAACGCGTGCAATGACGGAAGAACGGCGGGACAAGAGAGACGGGACGTGTTTTGTGTCGGGGCAGTGATTTCCCTACACCCCTCTACGGGGGTGTACTCCCCCCTTGTTTTTCCGAAAGCAACCCTTTAATTCGCAACGACTCTTATATTCTCAATGCCCCCCGAACACCCCCTCCCTAACCTCAATTCCCGGGGCCCGTGCCGGTTTGCAACAGTGGCTACCGGTCCTGCAAAGAACCCCGTTCCCTTTTTCGTGCCCCTCTCGAGTTCGATCGGCGTCAGTCGTCGTCCCGCAACATTAAAAGGAGTGACAGGGAGACTCTGCTTCATGTAATGCAGGCAGTCATGACAGTCGTCCTCTACATTTTTTTTTTCGGACTTTTTGCACTCTAAAGTATCTGCTAAATCGGTTTTATAGGCGCTGGTTTGGACACACCGAAGGGTCCTGTGCACGCTGACTGCATCAGAAAGGCTTGGAGGAGTGACTGTGAAAATGTGACGTTAAAGGTTATGGCCTCACATCAGCAAATTATTTTTTTTTTTCCTAACAGCTTTAAAAAGATGAGGGTTGGCCCAGCACTCCGTCTCTTCAATAAGGAGGTGCTAAGAGGCCTCTTTTTTTTTTTTTTTTTTTTTTTTTACCGCAAGAAAATTGAAGGGCTTAATGGCCCAGCGAAAGATACTGAGTCATTTATCCTGAAGATGTCGAAGCTCATCAAGATCATAACCTCACGTTAAAGAATGTAGAGCAGGGGTCTCAAACACGCGGCCCGCGGGCCGCATGCGGCCCGCGACTGTTTGGGATGCGGCCCGCAAGCCTCCCGCGGATTCGAACCTCAATTCCCATGCCTCGAGCGCCATTAAATATAGTTTTATACTTTCGATTCATTTTCGACCGAAAAAGCTCTGCAGCCTCTGCTCATATAACATGTACACACATTTTATACTAATCTGTCGTGTGTGTGTGTGTGTGTGTGTGTGTGTGTGTGTGTGTGTGTGTGTGTGTGTGTGTGTGTGTGTTGACGGAGTATTTCTTTTGCTTAAATATTTGCTTCTTGGCCTTTTCTCATGTAAATTAACAGGAACGGCACTTCCACTAGTAGGCCACAAGTGCGAGATCTTTGCTCACAGAGGCACATCGGCTGCACGAACTGTTGCTTAGCAGAAGCAACTGCCGAAGATAAAGCTATGAACTCGGGCTTCTAGCTGACAAAAAAAAAAAAAAATTAAAATGCAAGTATTTTTTCTCTTGGAAAGAAAAGAACTGCCATATGAAGATATTCTTTTTATGCCCGTTGAGCCTAGTGAGTTATGCGACGGACCAAGGACGGTGTGCTTGTTCTCGATTTAATGAAAACTGCCAGTACGTTGGTGTCTTATAACATCAGGAGTTGTCCCAAAGTAGTTGTATATGCAAATGAAAGCTAAAGATGGCAAAACGTTGGAGCTTACAAAAAGCGGAAAGCATAAGGTTCCTTCTCTAGAAAATCTCTGGGGTGTTACTGTTACAGTTGACGTTTGCAGCGTGAAACAACTCCGCTGACTGTTTGTTTATATTTTTATTACAGAATAGCAAAACATTGCCCCGAAAAAACGGGAGCCAACGAAGAGGGGGGGGGGGGGGGGGGGGGGGGGGGGTTCTGCGTTGGCCTTTTGCCCTTTCGGGGGAGAGCAATCTGGGCCCCACACTCGAATGAGTTTGAGACCCCTGATGTAGAGGTACAAAACGCCACAGGCGCCGACTACGGGGGAGCTCGGGAGCCCCCCTCTCCCGAGCTCTTGGGAAAATACCGTCGCCTCCGGAATCCTTGGGTGCACCTCATTAATCTCATCTGTGCGCTGGCGCCCAGTGTATAATTAAAAATTTATCTGTGCGCCCTGGTGCCCACACATATCAATATATAGCTGGTGTTCAGTGGATAAATAAGAATTTATCCACTGTGGTTACTACCACAGATGGTTGAGTGGATACATTCGCTGTTTCTTTTGTGTAATGATTTTTAATTTTTGTTTATGAATTTGTAAAGTTTCATTGTATAATTCCTCTGGTGCCTGCTTTGCGACTGCTTGTTTGGGGTGGCTAAGGGCCAGTCAAGCTGTTTTTACAGCTTTTTTCCTTAGTCGCCTTTCAACTTTTTGTTGGAAAAATAAATGAATTATTTTTATTATTATTTTTCTAACTTCGCACAGTCCTGTTTGAAGACCCTACGCAGTAACAGCAAACACGATAAAGGCTAGTGCTGGAAATTCCTTCGAAAGCCCGTGGAAGTAGTTGCGAGAGTCGAAAGTAGCACCTCCATGCAGCCTACGGAAGTAGACGTTATAATACGTTTTGTAAGCCCCATTTTGTTTTCCCAAACGCTGGAACAATTCATTAGGGTAGTGCGCTTCAACTACGGAATTCATTGATCACAACTACAGTGACAGCGAAATTATAGGGTCACAGAAGCACATATTTTTTTAGGTATCATGCCATCAGCATGCTTATCCTACGTTATCCAGGGGATTACACACGTTTGGGACGTCTCTTTCAAGAGACTTCCCGAACGTTTTCCTGGGGGATGGATTTCCTGCCTATTCAGAACGCAACATTGTTAGCGCGAACAAGCGATCGCCGGTTTTTCTATGAGAAACCAAAGTATGTCAGCAAAGTTCTAATTGCTGGGGAGAAAGCTCATTCGGGTCTCTAATGCAGGTGATAAAAGTTCGTCCTCACTAATACTCTTTCGAAGTAAATCCGAGAAAGCGCCAATGTCTTGTTCGCGCTAGCAGTGTCGGGATGTGTACTGTGGCGTCCTGCCCGAAGATGCACGTCTCGGGCAAAGCATTTGGCAACGAATTAGTGCGATAAATAATATGTGAAACAGCAGAAATAAAGAATACCGTAAAGAGTTAGCCAAACAATATGAAACAATCGAACTCGTGCGGAACGCCAAGCCAGCCAAGCGCTACCGCTGCCTGCGCTCCGCACTCCGGCAGCACGCCTACTACACGTTGCGCCCTCTCGCGGCCACCGATCCGGTCATCGCAGAAAGAGCCCCCCCTCCGCCGGCGCTCGCTACACTGCCCAGTCTTCTAGTACACCATACCCATGTGTTTTCCTACGTCGGCTGTCCAATAAAACGATAAAACTACCCCGTAACTCTCGAAAGCTTTCTGCTTGCCATATCATAGCCGCCGGACAAGAGATGCCATCGTGAAGTGAGTAATTTAACGCCACCCTATTGGCTTTGTTTTCTTGCTGCCTTGCAAACATTTCAACTCCCACATCGCTGTGGGTGTGCGTTGTATGCATTACTATCGGGAGTTCGTATCTGTTGTTTTGAGTAACCGCCGGATCGCAGACACTGCGTATTCCGTGTGTCATAAATACAACATAATATCACATTAGACGCTCCTTAGGTTTGCGTCGCAAACATTCAATTCATAACTGTTCGGCGGTAAGCTAAGGATTGCTAGATCTAGCGATAAATTGTGGCTAGCTGTTATCACAGTTGCGATAAATTGTGGCTGTATATCGCAGCTAACTGCTTTTCACTTGTTTCAGGAAGATGGCTTCTAGTGACGGAGACTGAAGACTTCTTCGTTCCCGAAATGACGGTTTGTTTGATTTTTCCCGCTGGTCGACTGATCTTGCAATCTGCCTTTGCGTTGGTTGGAGTTTGGTAACTAACTTGGGATGACTTTTGCGGTTGTTGTGAACTTGACAAAGCCAGGGAAACGCGCGATGAATTGGGATCGGCAAAGCGTAACATGGTGCTGTACTTGCGTTGTTTATTACGTACATGTCACAAACTAAAAAAAAAAAAAAATTGGTGTAGAAAAAGCAGCAAAATGCAGAAACCAAGGGAGAACATTGCAATGTGCTGCATGAAACCTGGGAACCAAACTTGGCATCCTTGTTAGGACGGTGTCGAATACCTCTGTTCAGGTTTACGTGTGACTACGCCATTTTGATGCCGTCTCTGAAACCATCGTCCTTTGCAGGTTTAGAATTAAATGTACAAACCCCACCCACAAAGCTGTGCCCACCGTGATTGGTTGTTTCCTCCTCTCTCCTCGCCCCCTCCCCTCCAGCGTTCACACTGCTAAAGTGTAAAGAGTGGAGGGCTTTGCGGGAAGAATTTGACCGGCGCTACTCTTAGCTTGCAACAGACTACACATCTCCTATTTACGCCTCTGTTTCATACTTTCATTAGGACTTCGCCTCACATTTTGACTGACTTGGGTTGCTAGTAGTACCGTGAACTGACCCAACTAGTGTGCCCGATGTAACTCGAAACATGTGATCGGAGTGCCGACAAAGCGAAACGTGATGTTACTCTTTGCTCACTTGCGTTCAATTAATGCTTTAATCGCGATTAATTATTTTTAACCAATTAATTGGTAAACATTTCTTGATGAACCAAAAAACAGCAAAAATTGCATGCTTTCACCATGCAGACGTGGACGAGCGCACCTGTACGAAGGGCAAACTTTAGTATAAAATTTGGCCTAAAGTAAACTGTAAGGACGAGATTTTGTAACTCCTGACAAGTGGAATTGTTACACGTGTGCGCCGGCCACTTCAGCGCATTCGAGTGTCCGTTCAGCGCAGCAGAGACTATTGTGTACAGTCGCAGGTTGTGGCGCAAAGACAGCCACAACCTGTGATTGTGGCTGTCTTTGCGCTGTTCTTAACTATACGTTGAGGTTGATTCATAATCAAAATTGTATATTGGGTCGTTTATCACGCAGCCAACAAAAACAATAAATTATTTTTTAAAAAAAGTATTGTGCATGGAAATGAACAAGACCAATTAATCAATTTATTAATTGATTAAAGAGTGGGGATTAATCGGGTTAAAACTTTTAATCGACACACGGGCGGTGTACGGGATGCTAAACGTGCTGGTTAAAGGCGCGATCTGGGCACCTTAACTTAAACCGTCGGTCGGTGTCGCACCACTCCAGGAGGCAGACTCTCCCCGTCGGTCGCCCCGACCCAGCGCCGGGCCTCCGCCCCGGGGGACGGGCCTGGTGTACGACGAGCGGATGGCGGAGCACCTGTGCCTCTGGGACCCCGAATACCCAGAGTGTCCCGAGAGACTGACCAAGAGCTGGGAGCGGTGCGTCGAGTACGGCCTGGTCGACCGCTGCGTCCGGATACCGGTACTCCCCTCTTCGTCTTCGCTTGCATCTCACTGTGTCCCTTTTGTTTCCTCTGACGCCGAATATGGTTTATGGGTCGTTTTCTGCTAGAAAATTGTCATGAAGGAGCATCATGATGGAGCGACGCGCCGAGAGCGTTGTACAGTCTGGTTTCCCCGCTAAATTTGGCATTGAAATTGACGTCATGATGGTGTCATGTAACCTCTACAGCAATTCAACTTCCCCGTTGAATACGGCGGGGAAAACACTGAAGGGGGGGGGGGGGGGGAGGGGACAGGGACGAGGACGAGCAGGAGGGCAGGGGGGAATGAGAAGATGCGGAAAAAAAAAAAAAGGGAAACGAGGAAATTGGAAAAAAAAAAAGTTGAAATAACAAACGTGTAGCGAATTGCCAGGCAATCGTGTTGCATACGTCAATTGTTTCAGCATCCCAAACTTTTAGCGGTACTCTGAGTTTTCGGACGCCTACATTCACAGCACTCTTCGTCAGATAGTTTAACGCATGCCATGTGTACACACGATAGTTGTTCCTAGGATGAGTTGACTACTTCTAATCGGGCTGATAATCCTGGCGATCTTCCAGAGCCTTCCATACTCTTCAGCTCCCCTCCCTCAGTGTGCACAGGTGGTCGAGCTCCTTCTCGCCTACCTCACTCCCCCTTGCCTACCCCTCTGGTGACATCACCTCCCCAATAACCAGTCGGCGTCGGGCACCTCGCTCCTCCTCCCCCACCCGTCACGCAATCGGTGTCGAGCCTCGCGGCTGCTCTTTTATCCGGGCTTCACGTTTTGGCTTCACGAAATGCCGAACACATAGCCAAAGGATGTTTCACGTTAAAGAACTAGGAAATTAAGTAAGAAAGATAAGTCCAGTACTTTGTCAGCAGGCTACGTAGCCTTTGTGAGCATGATCAAGCTTGTGTAGTCTTTTGAATGCAAAATGCGTTTTGGGTATTTGTATGTATGTGTAGCCGTACCTGTGCCATGATCAGCTAAATTGATTGGGCTATTGAAATAAATCTGGTGGTGCTACTGCAGCCGGCTTTGCTTGGCAAAGCCGGCAGGAGGATTAACATCGTTGGGGCTCTTTGCCCGCTTAGTTTCAGTTTGAAGCCTTGTACAAGTGTAACATTCTTTGCCCCATAACGCACACTGCAAATGTTACAGCGGGGTTGTTAAGGGCTAGTTTCCGCAGGACCGTGTCTGATACCAAACAAATGTCAACACCCATGGTCGACACAACACTCTAGTTGCTGCCGTCGCTCATAGATGGCAGTAGCTGTCCAGTGTGTTGTTTGCTGCCGTTGCTCATAGATCGCGGCAACCTTTCCAGCCTTAGCAACCAGACAACTGGTTGCTGCCATCACTCATAGATGGCGGCAACCTTTCTTTGGAGGAAGAAGAGCGGGAACGGAACGAGTGGCAATGTGCGGAGCAGTGCGAATGGTTCTGCAACTGCCGCGAGGTTGCTATCGCCCAAAGCTCCATTGTGTCGAGTGCTTCAGATTCCCTTACGAAAGAAGAGTAGATCACTCGCCTGGAAAGCCACCGCCGAGAACAGAGGCTACTGCTCCGCTGCTCTTCCTTCTTCTCCAAAGTGGAAAGGCTGAAAGTTTTTTAATCAGAATTTCATGTTGCACTTGTACCATGTTGATGTCGAGCATCAGTTCTATAGTTATGCCCCAAAAATGAAAATTTAAAAGTTAACGGAAGCTTTTGAGTGAATTCCTTTTTTTTTTTTTTAATTATTGATCAAAAAGAAGGAAAGACCCTGTGTATCACTAATGCATTCTGCTGTACGAGACATTTGCATGGTAAATGAAAAGTTTACCCAAACTTTTCTCTGTGTTTATCATAATGGACAACTGACAATGTCGTTTTTCATTCAGGCGAGGTTTGCGGAAGAAGACGAGGTGCTGACGTTGCACGGGTGAGTTTAACGGACGCTCTCATCTCTGTCCGCTAGCATTTCAAACGACCATCACAATATGTGACTTTTGTTGACGTCGCATCCACTGCCATTGAATGGCCTTGTTGCTGAGTGCATGAACCTTCTGCTCCTTACATTTGTTCACACTACCGAATTTGTTCCCCTCAGTGAGAGTAAGGGGAAATGACCCCCACCATGAGGCGATGACATGGTGTGTAAGCTTTGTATAGAAAAAAGAAACTGGGTGCTACGTATGTGTTATTTGGAAAGGCGTCCGCATGGATTCTAGTTTTCCTGACTGTTTTATGCAAAGAGACGGAGTTGTAATATCTGCACTAACAAGTTATCACCAGTGTCACCACTAGCATTTTTTAAATTACCGTAGTACAAATTGAGTGCAGGCAGTTTTAACAGACTGCCATCTACTTGTAGGGGTATGTCTCAGATGGTGATGAAATGCAATGATGGGCAGTTCTTATACGGTGCGTGCGGTTAAATGATTGGCCGGTTTTGCAGGCCTTCACATCTGGAGATGCTGAAGAGCACGAGAGGAAAAACCGATGATGCGGAGCTGGAGAAACTGTGTACACGATTTGATTCCATCTATATTCATCCTGTGAGTTTCACAAACGTTTTTTTTTTTTTAATTGTGACATTGGACATTAAAGAAACAAATGACATTTGGCTAGTGCTGTGTGACGGCATGATGACATTCACATTCCTCAGCAGAAGTACATGTCATCACACGCAAAAATCATTTGAAGTGGTTGGAAGACTCAGTTGTTGTATTTGAAGCTTCCGATGCGCCCCTTTACATCACCTTGCGAGACCCTTGTTAGTTTTGTGACAGTTATACGGTGGTGATGTAAAGACAAAGAACCTAACAAAAATAAAAAGAAGGGAAATTAGGCTTGCACCGTGACAGTGCTCACATCCTTCAATGGTAGTATTTTTCATATCGAACAAAAGCCATTTGAGATGTTCAGAAGGATCGGTAATTTTGTTTAAAAGCTTCTGATGTACATTTCTAGATTACCTCACGAGGCACCTGCGAGGTTGGAGGCGTCTTGTATATGATGGTGATTTGGACACGAAAAAAGAACCTCTATGCCCACTCGGACTCACAATGTCTCGCTCAGTGTAGCATTCTGCACGGTTTTAGGTCTACCTGATATACTGGTCTTGAAACCTAACAGTAGAAAAGTCATCTGCATCAGGCATCCCATTGTGCTGATTCGAGCTTCTGGTTTTTTTAAGAGCACCTACGACCTGGCACTGATGGCTGTGGGTTCAACAAAGGACCTTATCACTGCAGTTGTGAAGGGAGAGGTAATTATACGTTTAATTGGTTCTTCACCGTGCCTTTTCAGATTGATCAATGGATTCCAAACTCCTATTTGAACAGGTTCAGCACCGTTTTTAAGCATGTGGCGCCACCTAGGATGTTACAAAGACTACATTGAGTTTCAGTTTCAATTTTTTCGCTTTTCCATGAGGGGGCAATTTTTACGCGACTTTGAAGTTCTAGGATCGTGAGCGTTAGCGTGGGCGTCCTCATTGCACGTCGACACTCCTCAAGAACAGATCATCCGACTCACGATTCTGGTGCATAGGCAAGCGATTTTGTGGATGCAAGTGGCAGCAGTGAGTCAGAAGCTGACGTTCATTCATTGAATCTTCGTTTTGATTGTGGCAGTGGGTCGATCCAGCTAGGGATTTTCTACAGGCGCTTGTCGGTACAGGAGGCTCGCAATAATTCAAACTCGGATATTTTATATGTTTTTCATGTGTTCATAAGCTGCTTAAGTCGAACTGTGTTTTTGTGCAATTCATACTTATCGTTCTTGCGGCCCCGTTGAGTCTGCTTCTTTCCGAGCACTGGCGCACTGGAGAGGAGCAACACCCATGGAGCCTGCTTCTGCGGGTGTTTAAGTGTAAAGTGCAAAATGTATATTTCTGATTTTTTTTTAACTCTTAATATACTCTGCCGGACACTATGAATTAAAATTTAAAAAAAAACTTCCATGTTGATTACTGAAAGAAGCTTGAGGATGCAGGTGAGCTGGTCAATCCTAGGCAACAAAATGAAACTGGAGGCATGAAAACAAAAAGGATGTACACAACACCAAGAGGGCGTTGAGTACATCCTTTTTGTTTTCCTGTCTTCGGTTTTATTATGTTGCCAATGTTAGTTACACAGAATTCGATATTACTTTTTTTTTTCTTGCACTATATAGTAAATGTTTTGTTTGATATTTACATTTTGGAAAAGAGAACTCCTATAACTACATTTCAGTGTTCTTCGGTACGCCTAGTATAGTAAAATTCGTGGCTAAAGCTTTTTTTTATTGAGACCATGCCATAACCTTTTTTCCTGCGGTAAGGAAAGAGTTAATTTGAAGCAATATAGGTACAAAGCAAAAGTATTCAAACATCTTTTTCTGAATGGGGGCACTACCATACGAGCCACTAACCTCCGCCGTTCTTGCATTTGGTTGCAGGTGCGCAATGGCATGGCTCTTGTCAGGTGCGCCTACTTTTTTTTCCTCTCTTTCCACTGTATTATTGCCCGAGATCTTTAGGTTCGGTATTGTGTATTTAAGATTTGTACTTCCAAAACGGTATTCACACGGGGGAGAAATTTTTGGAAGGTTGTGCGTGACATCCACAGTGTGCGTGATTCCCTCCTCGGCTTCCTTGTTTACACCTACGAAGTGCCAGGTGAAGGAACGTGAGCGTTTTCAGTCCATTTTAGCGGCTTCTGCTTTTGACACTACCACAGAGGAACTTGGCAGTTTCTACGCTTGACACCAAAGCGTTTAGCCAGAAGATATCGTTAGAAACAACCTGATCTGCCACCACCAAACCGAGATCGTTTGTACCTCTCAAGCGTCCCGCCCTTCCACCGCCACAAAGCTGACATCAAAGTGCCGCATCGCACGGGCCCAACGTTTTAGGCGCGTCGTGCGCGCTTTCGCGTGAACTTCTCGGGATTTCTCCCCCGTGCGAATACCCCTTAACCAATGAGCAAAGTTAAGAGATCAAGCTTTGACTTTAGCTTGATTGTTGTCAAATGACTCGGGCACATCCGTTTTATCGAGGTAGCTAATCTTTAGGGAATGGCGGGCTTTAGTCGATGAATCTGGTGCATCTCGTTTGTTTCTTTTGAGTGTAAAAGGAAGGAGGGTAGCTCGGGACGTCTTCTTTAAAGACTTTGAATCTGTCCGCTAGACCGCCCGGTCATCATGCCATGGGGAGTGAATACTGTGGCTACTGCTTCTTCAACAACGTCGCCATTGCGGCCGACCATGCGGTGAAGCATCTCAACGTGAACAGGTACGGTCACATTTTCGTTCCTTGGCTGGTATCGCTAGTGTTGACTCGGTGATCATGGAGTTATTGGTCCTGTTTTCTTGGCTCGATTGAATGATCGAGAGTTTCTAATGCTCCTGTCTCCCTGGCACGTGCTAAGTAGGTGCTGTTAACAAGTATTGTGATAACAGTCAAGCTCAATAGGTTAAACTTTGTTTATTGTTTTCACTCTAGCTGACTGTAGCTGACTGCATTCCTGTCACGATGGATGGCAGATAATATTCTTCGCCCTAAAAATAATCACTAGAACAACTTGACTGCCACTTTCCTTTGTGGAAAGTGAGTGATGTTGAACAGCTACTGTACACCAACAGTGCTATATGTTGGTCATGTAATAGAGTGAAGGACCAATATTTTTTTCTGATATTACCAGTTAATTACCTGACAACGTTGTTAAAATGAGCACTAGCAGCGTTACTACAGTGCACTTTTCTACTTCGAAAACAGGGTGCTGATTGTTGACTGGGATGTTCACCATGGCCAAGCAACACAGTACATGTTCTACGACAACCCAAAGTGAGTCGTTGCTTGTTGATCTCTAGCACACTGGATATCTAAGAGCCATAGCTATGCTCTGATATTGCCACTCTTTTTGGCTTTAAGTCAACATGATATGGACACTAGGCTGACTCAGCAACTCAAATTTGTTGTGACACCTGCACTGCATAGCAAAAATGTTGATAATTTTGTACCACTGCACTGGCATTTTGCCAGGATAATGTTGACACAGTGCCATTACTTAATCGGCGCAATGTTAGCAATTATAATAATAATCTTTATTTTGATCTGTCTGCAAACAGCAATAGATCAGTGTAAACCTAGGCTTAGGTTTAATTAAATGTAATTGTGTTGTTTTGGTGCCTTCAATATATCAGACTCTCATCATTAGCTTCATCAGAAAAGATGATGCCAACATCTGCTCAACACTGGATATACACTTGTAAGACATCGGCCCAATATTGACTGTGCATTGCTGCACCTTATCACAATGCTGGCTGCATATTGGTGCAAGATTCACACAATCCTGGTTGTTCATTGGTCCAATGCTGGCGAAGTACATGCTGCACTGTGGCGCAACTTTGATTCAGTGCTGGCCACACATTAATGTAACATTGATGCGACACTGGCTCTGCATTACTTTTACATTAAAACAACACTGGCAGTGCATTGGTGCAACGTCGGCACAATGCCAGCTGTACATTCATTCAACACTGGCACAACATTGTTAACATGGCTTTGGTCGCAGGGTGCTGTACCTGTCCGTCCATCGTTACGAGCACGGGGAGTTCTGGCCCGAGCTACGGGAATCCAACTTCAACTACGTCGGGAAGGGAGAGGGGGCAGGTTACAACATCAACATTCCACTCAACAAGGTGAGTAGATTTGCTCTAATTGCTAAAGAGTACCAAAATATATTACTTTGCTTGTGGCTGAAATGCAGGCTTCAGATGGACAGCACATGTCGGCATTTCATTGGCGTCGTGGATTATGTCGGTAACATATGCCAGCATTACTTGAGGTGCTCATTAGCGCAGTGTCTTTGTACAGTAGGCTCACGATAATTAAATTCGAATGTTTCATACTTCTAGATAATTCATACAAATTTTAATATTTTGGTTGTCCCGCTCTGTTTTCAATACGTGCCAGGGGGAGCATTTTTTTTTTTTTAGGATATTGAAATGAAATTTTTACAGCTGTTGGTGCTTAATCTTCTCTTTATGAATTTGGGGTTAGATTTGATATGGCTTGGTTTTTACGTTCTCGATGTTATTTACATGCAGAAAAAAAACATGTTTTGTGCGCATGTGTGGCAAGGCAACACACCTAAAAAAGCCTAGTAACATAAACTAACTCGCTCCATTTAATCCACCGAGTACAATGAACAACAAAAATAATGTGTTGTCCAATGTTCAATTTATAATACGAATCAAAAATAGCAAAAATGCCATTTCAAGGGGCTAACAAACGATTCTTACATTTTTCATAAAATTAAAAATATTAAGGGTGTGTGAATATTGAAATTTTCTAATATAAATTAAATATGAATATTTGAAAAAAAAAATAGCTTTGAATATTGAATATGTCTCGAATATATGTGTGCCGTTAGGAAATAACAAGAAAAAATATGCAAATACTTTCTGTATTACTTTCCAAACTGGAAGTGATAACAAATTCAAATGAATAAAACTGCCTGACTAGGCAGCATATAAACAATGGCATTGGTGACACAGCTATTAAATCTTGACTAGTGATCACCAGTCAACTGTACATGAAAGTGGGCAATATGTGCAACTGATAAGTCATACAAATTGACAAAATTAAGAGTGTACAAAACTATACATGTCTAGATACTGGCATCTAATGCACACTTTATGTTGTTGCACAAACAACTGGTAGTGACCTTTTTTAAAAGAAATAATTGTCCTTGACTAGCCAGTAAGTCAGATATCAGCTGCAAATGCAATTGTTGCAAATTATCATGGAAGAAAATGAATTGTTCCACATGTTTTGTACATGAGCGCTCCCTTTTCGCCGTGACAACTGTTCCTGCAAAAGAAAAAAAAAGGTCGCTAGAAAAGTGACTCGTAATGCAGGCTTGGCAAAACGAAAACCAAAACTGCTCCTTTGTCGTGAGCTAATACATACCTTTTTGCCCAATTAATTAACACTTTTCTTGCAAAAATTGGTGCCCAAAAATACATGCATGTTACAATCGAAACCAAAAAGTGAAACTCAAAAGAAAAATGCAATACTCAATATAAAGTGACCAGCTTCATCGCCATCGGGACCGTTTGTTTACGTTTGCCATTTTGGTAACCGTATCACGCAAATTCTTTCGTGTCTACAGACCCATGTCTGCCGTTAAGATGAAAAAAACAAAACAAAAATTTCACCAGAACACGCTGGCAGGAAAAGATAACAACGGAGCAGCACTGCGTGGCCTTGCAATCCCAGCAACCCGACGAGCTATCAAAGTAATTTTGGAAGACGACCCTCCCAGAGCCAATGGTCGCGCACTCGTATGATTGCGAGAGGCGCAGCACCTAAAGTGCTTTAGACGGAAGCGGCGATTACCTCTATGGACAGTGAAGAACCATCGTCAAACTTCAACAACGGCAACTAGTGTACAATACTTATTTTTGTGTTGTGCGTTTCATGAAATCTGTTCTATGAGGTATGTGTTCAGCCTTAATTATTTTACCTGAAAGGTAGATTATCGGCAGCAATTTACTTTTTTGAATACCTAGGTGGTAAATTTGCCTGCACAATAGATTTGGGAGCGCGTTAGGTCGTGCATACACGATAGTTGTACATATAATGTAAACGGCAAGGTTTTATAGAAAAATGGCTACAATACCCGCAATTTCAGGTGTCTATACACGGGTTTTAAGGAAGCTCTGAATGTTCAGGGCATGTCCCACACGCGAATCATTCGCTATTTGCCCGAATGTTCGGCCATAACAGAATATTTGGAAATTTCCGAATGTGCAATTCTTGAGTCGAATATGTATTGAATAAAACAAATCTATTCGTATTCGAAACCTAGAATATTTGCACACCCCTAAAAAAGATGTACTTTCTAACCAAGCATAGATACTTGCATTCTCCATATTCTAAAGTATATGCGAGCTAAATTTGGTTGTGATAAGACAATATCAACTCAGATTCTTGTGCACAAACTGTGAAGAAGCCCCAAAATTACATTAAAAAAAATAACATGTTCAAATGTTACTCTAGACGTGTAGCTATACTCTTTTGCGGTGAGGAAAATAAGTGTGCCATTTTCTTATCGTACCGGCATGAGCTGGCACTGCATTTATTACATTACACTGGCATCATGTCTTGTATACATTGATTTAGATTCCTGTGGCATTATTTCTGGCTTTACAAGATAGTTGTTCATTTGCTTTCCTTTGCTGCTGTTGCAGGTTGGAATGGGTAACGCAGATTACATGGCCATTTTCAACAACATTGTGCTTCCTGTCGCATATGAGGTAAGTTACACGCATTCATTTTTTGTACACATTTGTCAGATGTTTTTTTTTTTTATTTTTTATCTGCAGTATCAACCTGAGCTGGTCATAATCTCGTCCGGTTACGATGCTGCCATTGGCTGTCCAGAGGTAAGATATAAAACCTGTTCAAATTGCCAATTCTAAGAAATGGACTACAGTGCAACTCACTTGCACTACAGTGCAATCCACTTGCAACGATACCATATATAACGATGTATCACTTATAACGATTAGTTTCTAGAGTGTCTAGATTATAAACGATCAGTTTCTACTCCAGATACTACGATGATCGGTTATAACGATTGAAATTTTTGGTTTTCTCATCATCGTCATAAGTGTATCGCACTGTAGTACTTATTGCATCTCAACGCCAGAAAAATGTTTACTCCACAGGACGGCACAATGTCGAGAGTTGTCATGCTGTCTCTCATGCTTGGCTAGCATATATCCCAGTAAACATTTTGGGTTATAAACTAGTTGGTGTATTGTTGTGTTTACTTTTTTTAAAAACATTTTATGGACTTTATGGAATAGTTTTGTTTCCCTGCATCCAAGGGCTGGTATTACTGGTTGAGCCGTCAGTAAACTGTTCTGTAAACTTGTATAGTTTTGTGATGTATAGCGGGTATGCTCTTTTTCTTTTGAGAAAGCGGAACCTATACCAGGGGCCCATTTGCAATCAGTGCGTTTGGGTAAGGTTCGCTCCAATGTTGCTGCGTATCAACATGAAAGGAAAATAGTGTCTATTTTGCACAAGGGCACACTGTTGAGAGTGGAGTCACGCTCCCTGGCAGGCTTTGTTAAAACATCTTGTAGTGGAATCTCGTTAATTCAAACTCTTTTAATTCAAACTCGCAGTTAATTCAAACTAACATGCAGGTCCCGTCCTATGTGTTTCTAGGAAGGAAACTCCCGGTAATTCGAGCTTTGCATTATTCAAACATTTGATCCTCCTCGGGTTCAAATTAACAAGATTCCATGTAGTGTTATTGTTTTCCAAGTTCTGTGATGGAAGAAGACATGGTAATTTATTTCCTAAAATAACACTTCAACTAAAGATTGTCATTCATTTGTGAGCAGCGTGTTCGGGCAAAGTTTGTCAACGTTGCGAGGCATTAATGTGCCACTCTCATGTGCAGGGTCACATGGAGGTGACGCCATGTGCATATGCACACATGCTCAACTCTCTCATGGCTCTCGCCGGTGGAAAAGTCTGCGTTGTGCTTGAGGTAACACCTTTATTTCTGTGCGTGCACAATTTTTCTCACCTGATTAACACACAGTTTTCAGGAAGAAGTTTGTTTTATTCCCGCATAATCGCAAAACATATTTTTGCAAAAACATCTTTTTACTTGTTAGCCTTTCAACGTTATTGCCCGGTTGATTGAATCTAGACCCGTGAGGGCTTTTGGGGGGGAGCGGGGGGCGATGTTTAGATATCCATTTTATTATCTTTGTCATTGGTTAGCCGACTGATAAGTCATCCATTATTTTGTGCAAAGATTTAGTTGGGTTTACAAATGTTGTGCATCGATTCAACTCTCATCATCACAATGTAGGGCAGTCTCAGTGAAGTAAATATATGCGGGACGGAAGTACAGCAATTACTGAGCATTGGCAATGAAGTGGTGCCGAGGTTGTTGGTAGTCCTCTGACAGATGGTAAAAAGGCTAACATTATAGAAATTGGCCCGCATCAGTATTTAAAAAAAAAAAAAGATTTTTGTCTGTCATAAATTTTTTATAATCTCCTCCATGATCTTCCACCAGTTCCAATGCCAGCAATAGCACTACTATCTCATAAAATAGATTATACTACCAAGAAATGTTTTTATGAGCATCGGGTTGATTTTTATTGCTTCGGTCACCTCTCCTACCATTCTCAAAAGACTCGCGCCCCTCGATATTGCGTCAAGTTCACCCGACGACGTCCGTCTGACGGAAACAGCCACATTCCCTGCGATCGTAAGACTTACTATTTGAATGTCGTTCACTCAAACAGTTTCCCCCGTTGTCATCCCCAGTTGTTTCGCTGATCCCGTGAAGACTTAAGTCTACCACGTTCTTAAAACACTTGTCGCCCGTGTGTTGGGACGCTCGAAGAAACCAAAGTAGAAAAAACAAAAAAGACGACAGATACCGACGTCTCAAGCTCGGCCGACCCGTTCATTCAGTAAGGCGGTTACCACCGTCACAGGGGGGCTACTGCATCTCCTCGCTGGCGGAAGGCGTGGCCCTGACCCTGAGGACCCTTCTGGGCGACCCGTGCCCTGATCTGGGTCCCCTGGGCAAGCCCTGCGACAGGTGAGCCCTTGATCCTCCCAGAACAGGTCACCCCTTTTGCCGTACCAGAGTGGCAGAGGCAGTGGTAATGCTGAATGCGATGCGGGAGTGTAGGGAAACTGTGTGGCAATGGACAGCGCGAAGTGCCCCCGCTCTGTGTGGCGCAAGCGCTCCACGGAAATCTTACTTTCGAGTGCCGTCTTCCGCGGTTGCGGAATATTTGTGACTCTCTCGGAGCCTGTTAGAGTGCGAGACGTGAAGACAGAACAATCTGAACGTGGTGGCGCCGAGCAGAGCCCTGGCGCTCGCTCGCGCCAAAAGAGAAACGAATGTTCGGAACTGCTTCGACCCGTTGCAGCAAAGGAGTCTGTTTTTTCTTTTTTCTCGGCTTTTCCGTTGCTCTGTCTTTTATCCTCTTTCTCTGGTGAAGCCCGGAGCACGCACGTTTGACGGAGCAGAGCACTGCCGTTCGTCTGAATGCCTGACGTTTTGTCCCCACCGGGAGGAACACTGAGGCGCCCAAAGAACGGGTTCGGCTGGCACCGGTATCCGATCGGCAAGGGGACAAGCACTGCGTCGGCGTTCGTCTGGCAGTTGGCCCGTCGACTTATGTTGCTGGTTCCTAACCGGATATGGTTAGATGCTAGTCATCTATAACATATTGTGCGTTTCAACTAAATTATAACTAGATCTAATGTGCGAGGGAGTTGGGATTAGAGCCACTAAATAACTGTTCCCCGGCTGTCTTGCGGGCGCCGCCATTTTGGCGCCTAGTGCAGGGCGGGCGCCCCTGACGGTCGTTAGGATTAGGAGAAACGACCTCTCGCTCCTCAGACGCGACGTCGGGAAACTCTAGTGATGTCTTTTTACTTTGCGGCAGACCGTTCTGACATTTGTAACGGACAGGAAAGTGTTTCTTTCGATTTACGATGAAGCTTTGTAAAACTTGCGACATAAACTTTGTTTTTCTGACTGCTTTTTTTTTTATTGTTAAAATAGTTTTAAAAAAAGTTGAATGCTGCTAAAAAGTTTTTTGGTTTAAAATCTCGCCAGATTTCAGTTCCCATTCGCTCGTATACTTCAGACCTGACTATGCTTACCAGAAGTGGAAGTCGACCTTACAGAAACGGGCTGGCACCTGAAGTCTGCAAGTGATTGGGGCGTGTGACTTTCACAGCATCACGGACACGATCCTGGATGTCATCTCAGTACACCGTCCGTACTGGAAGAGCCTCCAGTTTCAGGGAACCTTTTCCCAGGAGTCCACAGGTCTCTCACCCAGGGCATTCCACTCCACAAGGTTAGCAGTTCCATTCTTCTGGCGATCTTTTTTAACTTTCTTTATATTTCCACGCACGCCAAACGTGCTCATTCACAAAAAAAAAAAAAAAATCCTTCCATGGCAGGCAGATATTCTAGTAACTACAAAATCGGTCACCAAGCTTTTTGATTTCAGTTTTCGTTCGAAGATAAAATCATCGGGAGCTTTTGTATTCCGATGAAGGCTTCCACCCCTTCTAATCTCTTCATTGACCCTCCCCTCTTCCGATTTCATGTGACAGGACTTTGCCTGCCTTGAATGCTGACGGTTGTTTTGACACATGCTTTCACGGTGGTGTCGCCGGGTTTTTTTTCTTAACAATCTTGCGGTTTTCTGTTGGGTTTGAGCAGGAGGGAACACCTTCCCAAGATTGAGTACCGGGGTCAGCTTGGCGTACGGCGGCCCGACGCGTTCCCGACGCGCAGCGCCTACTACATCCACGACGCCGGCACTAAGTCTCGCCTGGAGCGGGAGATCGAGGCCCTGAGGAAGGCGACGGATCTCGGCGTGGCGCCGCACTGGACCTGCCTCGTCTTCGACCAGAAGATGGCGCTCCACCGGTGCATCAACGAGCGGTGAGCCTTGTCATTGTTTGGTTAGCCCGGTCACATCCGAGCTCTCTCGGTTGTGTTTCTGAAACTGAGAAGAGCGTACCACTGCAGTAGGCCCGTGAGAATTCAAACTCAAATTTTTCATTCTCCTGGCTAATTAGAACAAATTTTAAAAAATGAACGACGTTTACAACTCCTTTTAATCACGAATAGGAGCCCAGCTCCTGAAAAGGAGAAGGGGAGCATACAAAGAGGAGGGTATGCCCCTCCTCCTCCATACCCTCTCCTCCTCCTCCCTCTCCCCTCCTCTCATTCTCCATCCCTACTCCTCCCCCCTCCTCTCTCCCACTCGTGACGTCACTCATGATTGTGACCTTCACGAGTGAAGCTTTTGTGAAGGTCGTAACCTTTACGTGACCTTCCCTTTCAAGGTCGTGACTCGTAATGTCACTCGTAACTATTGTGACGTCACCTGTGACCCTTGTGACGTCACGTGTGATGTCACGTGTGACGTCATTATGAGAAACGTCCCATAATGCAACGCGCAAGTCACGAGTAACCTACGCGTTGCATCATGGGACGTTTTCTATAATGCACTGTGCGGGACATTCGTGACGTCACATTATAGAAAACATCTCATAATGCAACGCGTGGGACCGTCGTGACGTTAATATGGGAAACGTCCCATAATGCAACGCGTGGGTCACGAGTGAGACCCGCGCGTTGCGTTATGGGACGTTTCCCATAATGCAACGCACAGTTAAGCCGATGGCGACGCCGCTTAAGCCGGAAAGAGGCACCTAAGAGCTGCACTCTAAAATTTTGGTTGTCCCGCCATGTTTTCAATGTATTTATAAGCTGCATAAGTGGAACAGTGTTTTTGTGTAATTCATACCTTTTGTTCCCGCGTCCCCGTTGAGTGCACTTCTTACTGAGCACCGCACACTGCAGAGAAGCAACACCCACGAAGCTCCCTTCCCCGAGTGTTGCTTCTCTGCAGTGCACCTGTGCTCGGTAAGAAACGCTCTCGACAGGGCTGACAGTCCACGATAGACAACTTTTTCTACAGCGGCAACTGTAGTGGGCTTTTCCCACCACTGGAAATGACATTCGTTGTTGATGTAGTAGTAGTAGCAGTTGTCGTGTTGATGTCATTGGCAATGTGAGACGTTCATCATCGATGTTGCCAAACCCTTGAAGAAAAGAAAGCCGCCACCGCTGCTACCACTGAGCCACGCCACAGCGTTAATGACCCGCTTTAGAGTCTTAATTTTTGTAGTAACCAACGCCTATTGCACGCGCTCTCCACAAAAAAAGTAGCCTATAAAAATGTGTTGTTGTAGCACCGTCAGTTTCGAGAGCTCCTGTCGGCAGACATGCTTTCATGAGCTCCGGATCAAAAAAAAGCATTTGGAACAAAATGGAACAAAACAAAATTGTTTGGAACAAAACAAACGTCTGTTTTGTTTGGAAAGCTTTTGTTCACGCACCTCGCTGCGCCATGGTGCACGAACGTGACACAGATGCCCAACAACTTCACCGTGACGTGTCGCAACTAGCTGTTACTGTGACTGTACCGTGGGTTAACAGGGGACTGTTAACTTAATTTTTCTTTTTAGGATTCATGAGCTCTATTGACAGATCACAATAGACAACATTTTTGAGGGATGAATAAGCTTATCTCATATACATTTCTGCAATGTTTCATGCGTGGCATGTACCTGTTTATGATCAGTAGGCACATTTAGAGGAAATCATCAAGTACTTGCTTTGTATGTGTAACCTTCCATTTAACAAATTTTATCTCGGCATCATATTTAGATGAATTTTTGATAATTTAAACAAAGTTTATGTCTTCTTGGAGTTTGAATTAAAGAGTCTACTGTAGTCTACTGCGGAGTGAATGCTGACCCGCCACATTGTCTCCTGCCAGGCAGAAGACCGGTTTCCAGTTTCCTTCTCTCCACTCCCCCTCCTTCTCTCCCCACGAGAGCAAGTCTCTGAGCTACTCCCCGCAGAAAGAAGGAGGGTCTCCCTCTTTCACGAAAGGGAAAGGAGGAATTGAGGCAGAGTTTCCTCTTTTCCAGCTGCTCGTCTGCCTTTGGGAAAAGCGAGACCAGCACCTCCCTTAAAGAGGCGGTGCAATGATTTTAACACTGAACGAATGTGCAGCTTGTATTTTTTATATTGTTTACTTCGGCATAAGTAAGAGAAAAAGTGCCACCATACCCCAAAATACCTCTATTTCGCTGCGTAATCGTAAAATAAAAAACACTTTTTTTCCCAACCTGCGGCCACATGGTGGCCGCAAATGGAACCTGTGGTGTGACGTCATTCGGAGTGGTTTTTGTAAGTGACGGTGTTGGGCAATTGTAAGCTTGATTTAAGGTTAAGTTTAAAAAATCTTGTTCTTTAGGCATGCAGAAACGCTTCAAAAGCCTAATATTGCCGCTAAAAGGGTATGAATTATTTGTGGCGCCATCTACCGAAAGTCAACAAAACCTGCCGTCGCCGTCATCCGTCGACGCTCGAGGCGCCTACGGCGGCTACACGAGCAACCCGGACGTTTTGTCTTTCCCTCGCTCGACGGAGTGCGTTGGTCGTGGTCCGTAGTATCGTGGTATCGTTATTGTTCCTGGTGTCTCGATTTCGACTTCGACTGCCCGCCGCGTCGCAAGCATCTTGCGCTCGACGTCGCTCAGGCCGTCCTCCCATGCCGCCATGTTGGTCGGGAATCAACGGGAGAGCGGCGAGCCTGGCGAGTCGGCAAGCGCTGGGGAAATGGAAGCCAGAAGAACCCAACCGGAAACCAATGCCACTCCGAATGACGTCACAGGCGAAGTTGGTGCCGCTTCAATGTTAAGTTGAGGGGTACCAGAGATACCAATTTCTTTTATTTTTTTAATGAAAACTAGGGCAAGCAGGAAAGAATAGTTTTCAGTCCTTCGTTTTATACGTGGCCGGGATCAATTCCCACAATTAATTAGCCAAAGTCCGCAAATTGTTGCACTGCCCCTTTAACGCCCTTCACCATTTCCGCTTTAGCAGAGCGAACACGAGAGAGGAGGAGAGTGAAGTCACCTCTTTCCCAACGTTTGCTGTGCTAAAGCTTTGCTAAAGTGGAAAGACTGGAGGGCTTTGTGGGAGGGGGCCTGCTTTTCTTGACCTGCAACAAAGTGTGCAAGTTCTGCGTAGTCTTTTTGCCCCCCCCCCCCCCCCCCCCCCCCCCCCCCCCAACAGCACTGATCGAATTTGCCGGACGTCAGCCCCATGGTGCCGTTCTAAAAAGAAACGAGTCTGAATCTTGCTGGTGGAGTTGGCCGACGGAATGTGCGGCGTGTTTTGAGCGGCGTCAAACATCTTTTTGTGAGCTTTCCCTGAGCTCGGGAGTCGAGCAGAATTCTGCTAAATTTAGCAAAATATAAAACAATGATTTTTAGTTTGATGTGTGTGCATACGGCACTTGACCTAAAGGCCCGTTTGTACACTTGCAATTGGCTACGACGGACTCAAATAAGAACGGTCTTTAAGCCTCTTGCGATGGCTCACTACCAGTTGTGCAGCAAATGCAGCCAGTCGTAAGCCATCTCGAGAGGCTTAAAAACCAGTCTTGTGTCAGTCGGTCGGAGTCGAGTGCAGGCGCATAAACAAGCCTTAAAATGTGGTACACTAGCTGTCATAGGAATAGAGAAAAAAAGAATGTGTACAAATCAGAAAAAAAAAAGTCAAGCAAAGTCATAATCATGCACACACTAGTGGCTTAACTGCTCTTCGAAAAGTGTTCATGTCACCAAAAATATCCACCACAGATTGGTCTAGCTTGTTATGTTGGAGGTGAACACACGTAATTGGCGACGTACGGAACAGAACCAATTAGGTAAAAAGGGTGTTGAGAGCGACTGGGCCGAAAGGAGGCATGAAAACAAACAGCGCCTAAGAGCAATGATGAATTGACGGCTGCGTTGACAACCTTATGTAAAAACGATAAATCATCTGAACGAAAAACATAATCCCAGTTTCTGATGTACAGTGTAGACCGCATATAACGTATGTCGCGGGAGTCGCGAAAATCCGCACTATAAGCGGTACCGCGCTATAACCAAAACATAAATTTTTCAGGCCAAAATACTTGCCTTCAGACAACTTACCTTTGTAAAAAAAATTATTTCTATGTTAGATGAAAAATAAAGCTTAGTTTGAGGAAAGTCTTTATTTCATCAAACTAGTACACTTTTCTCTCAAGTGTGTCACACATTTTGAAAGAAATGAGTGACTTTTGCCTGGCGCAGCCTTTTAACGGCGTCGCGGGCTGCGGACGGACATTGCGAGCGTTCGAGAATACTAACCCTAATCACTTTTTTCCCGCGATAAAAATGCATGAAAATACGCGCCAGTAATACCTTCAACTTGAGCACAGGCACAAAATGCTCCAAATAAGAAATCCAGGCGATGGTCGAAAACAGAATTGTTTAGAAAGCACCACTGTAGTCGAAGTAAACAAACACGACGACACGGGCGTTTCTGCCGCCTTGAGAGTGCCGCCACAACATCGCCGCACGAGTAGGTGGATCTTCCCTTCTAGTACGTGCTGGGTTATCATAGCGACACACAACGAAAATTCACAGTCAAGGATAGCGCTTTTACGCGGAACGATGAACTTCCACCATGCCGTCTGCGACGACGTCCACAACCGACGCCATGTTCGCGGATAGAAGCAGCCGGCCCGCGGCCGGCATGCAACGCGCGCGAACACTTCTCCTCGACTTGCGATTGGTCTGTCGTTGCAGTTGTTTCCAACACAGCGGAGGGACGCACGCACGTGAACGACGCGTGCATGCGTCCCTCCGTCGCTATGGCAACTGTAGCCTCCCTCTTCACTTTTTCGAGCAACCTCCTTGCCCCGCGAGTGCCGCTTGCGGCTAGCGCCGTTATCTAGTGTCGGCGCGGTCGGCGGGCTGTTCGAGAAAACGCACTATAACTGGTATTTCCCTTCGCGCACCTGCACTTTAAGCGGTATGTAATTACATAAAGTTCTATGGGAGGCGAACTGGTGGTTTTAAAAAGCCGCGTTATACCAGGTCCTGCACTATAAGCGGTTACGTTGTAAGTGGTCTATACTGCAATATGTCATGGTTGTAGTAGTAGCGCTTGCCCGCAAAGTATCTGTCGCAGATAAGTCTTGTAAACCATCTTTGAACACGTCCAATAGAGGATGCGTGACAATTCAAATTACCCGCTGAACTTAGCAGTGGAACGCTTCGCGTTCAATGTAGTAGGGCATAAGTCAGGTAAATTCAGACTGTCACACTTTTCCATAATACTTTTGGGGAATCTTTTTTTTTTTTCATCTCAAGCTCTTTACTCATTTTGTGTAATATTGAGCCAATATTTTATTTACTGTCATGGACAGTAGAAAGCTGAACGATGTGCTTTACTTTTTGTTTTGACGTGACTAGACAGCAGTATCTAAGTTTCACATATATGGATGTTGAGGAGGCATAAAATTGTCCCCTGGGATGGACAGACGTGTGTCTCATAGCCATCAGATGACAGTACGAACAAGCGAGGTGCACTCAGCAGTCCAAAGTCGCTTTATTCGACATTGGAGCAACATCGCCGACATTGAAGCAACATCGTCGACATTGGAGCAACATCGTCGCAGTGTTTTCTCCCTTTTCGGCGACATTCCTTACGACCTTCTTAAGGCCCGTTCACACTCTTGCGACCGAGTACGACTGAGAGAGACGAGATCTCTTAAAACTTGTTAAATGTTTTTAGAATCGGGGAACACACTGGGCATTGTGGCGTCATCTATGCAGTGACCCTGGAACTGCATTTCACAAGTGCGAAGGTTTTGCGGGATTTCATAGGTCAAATGTGCGTAATACCCATAGAAAGGCTCGTTTATAACATTGACAAAAGTTTTTCGAGCCAAAAAAGAAAGGATGATGCGCGAGAAATAAAAAAAAATATGCCGGACCGCCGAGTTTACACTGCTTCCCAATAGATGGCGCCAGTGTGTTTCCTGGTTTAAGAAGTTTTAAGGAACCCAGGTTTAAGAGGTCGCAAGAGTGTGAACGGGCCTTTACGGTAATGACGCCCAGTATAACTGTTTAGACGCAAGTCGGGCGTTTAAGGAAACAAAGGCCAGTGTCGGTATCACGCAGACACGACGTTTTGCGCACATTCTTAGCGTCTCCTCACTTTGCGCTTTTCAGGGGTCATCCCGAAAAGCCCGAGCGCATTCTCAACATCTGGAAGATTTTGGGGAAGCGCGGCCTCATCGACAAGTGCCTGCTCTTGGAGGTGGACACTTTTTATTTTCTCTAATTTTTTCCTCGATCTGCGGGTAAATTCAGTTATTGGACGCATCATAACCAAAGATTGGGTGAATTCAGTAAGAAAGAATTACGGACCAACTACAGTATAACCTCGTTACGAGAGATCTGGTTACAGCAGACGTTCGGTCATAACAAAACCGGTTTGTGAAGTTTGATTGGTCCTCCTATACATGCCATTGTGCCAACCTCGCTTATTACAGATTCTGGTATAACAAACGTTCGGATATAATAGACTATTTTAGGGGGTTTGGGAACTGGTTCACCATTCTATTACTAGTGGACTCTTCAATGGCAGTCGTAATTTCGGACATTGCGTGGCTTTGGTCTGATGATGGCGGCATCCATTTTTGCGAACTGTTGCCATCGCACTGTGTGCCCCACAAGCCTCGTACGACTCATAGCACTCAGTGATGACGATCATTAGTACAACCGAATAAAAAATCACTACCTTTTAAAGTCCAGAAGTTTTAATGAACCAGCTCTTTTCTAATATCCATTCACATTTTGTCATTCCCACCGATTGGAACAGACTCCAGTCGTAATCCCCCGTGAAAAGTCTGCAGTAAGGGTGTCTGCATCCTGCTTGCTCCTTATACAACTGGCCAAAGTCTTCGTCGCTTTCAAAATCTAGAACGAGTTTATGCTGTATATCCCGTTTTTCCTTGTGGTGGACCACAGGGGAATCTTCAAATCGTAGCCAATCCAATGCTGCGTGAGTGTCACATGATGCGTGCGTGGGGTGCATTGTCACGTGATAAATTCGGAGTGCTGGACCGGCTGGGATGGCTCGTAGCCTATGCCAAGGTCCTTTGTAAGGTCAAGCGGAGTATATCTGCTCTGAAACTTTAAGCTAAATAAAAAAGTGCACAATCATGTTTGTTAAACCTGGTCACGTGGTTACTAACCTGCTGTAACTTGGAGATAATAGGAACTTTAAATGCCTAATGTCAGTATATCTTTTCATTTCTTTCTTTTGTAAAGAAGAAACGGTGTGAATCATTCGCATTCATGCTTACGCTTTCCTTGCTCAAGAAGCCGTGGATTGAAAAAAATGCCTCGGAATAACTTGTGTCGTTTAGTTCGTTTTCTCTTTCACCTTAGTTTTTGTAATGTAATTATAATAAGAGTTACTGCCTCCATTCCCCCCCCGGCTAGTTTGGTCTGGTAAAGAACGCTGTCCACGTTGGCTCGAGTTGTTGATACCATTGTTTACTCGAGGTCTGCTTATCTTCTTTGCTTTCTAGTTTTATCTAATTTCTTCTCATGCTTCTCATATGAAAGGGAATAAATATTCTGCTAAAGCATTTGGGATTATTTTTCGTGTAACAAAATCGTCGACATATTAAAAAGGAAATTTTGGCGTTTGTGTGCAGGCAGCACACAAACGTTGGCCTGTCTCCGAAGTACGGGAACATTAGTTTATGCAATAGACGAGGGATTCAGCCAGTGCAGTACCACTGTCAGCCTGGTACCTTTGACGTGCTTCACGCAGTAGTGAGAAATGACTGCATACCGTTGTGATGCTCATTAATATCGAAGCAGGCAGAAGTAGGGTTTGTAACACGAAGGCAGATGAAAAACCATAACGCATCATAGTCGAAAGCGACGCGAGTAAAAATTTCGACTCTCACTTTCAGTCAAGGCCGGCCACGATCGAGGAACTCCTGCTGGTCCACGAGTGAGTTATCTGGTCTATAATCACTTCTTGGGCACAATAGTGGCCGACACGTCCGACGAGTTGTTCACATCTTTGCTCTGGATCCTTGCAGCAAGGCCTACGTCGAAAAGATGCGCAACTCCCAGGAGCTGAACAAACCAGACCTCATCAAGCTGCAATACACCTTCTCCTCTGTATATCTTTGCGCCGTAAGTGTATTTGCTTCTTTTTTTATTTCTTTGCCGCAAAGGGTGACGAGACAGCTTTTTTTCACGTAACGAGCGTTTCTCCTCAAAAAATTACGTGGCTGCGCTTTCTGGAGCCTTATCGACCTAATTTCTATTGGCAAACGTTCTGCGTAAAGGTGCTGAAATCGGCCAAAAAGCTGCAACGGTGTGCGAAGAGTTTAGAATGTGTAAAACGGGGGCATATCTAGCCTCATCAGCATTGTTGCTCCCTGTTTCGCCTGGCATTTTTATGTATGCCACGCCAATCTTGCCTTGCCACTATGTATATGCGCCGAAAGTCTGAAAACCAATTTTACGTCCAGCAATTCGGTATAGCTCGTTTTGGCGTGAAATGCCTGATAAGTGCCATATTTTCCACTGTGGGAGTTGCATTTTCTTTTTAAATTTTCGTCGGTGCATTTTATTTATCAATTTGACTTATACCCTAGTTGCATGAGCGCTCTCGACTACCATTAAGCTAACGATTTTTGGCATCTCCCATCTCTCATTAAGTTCAACTAGGTAAGTTGTCCGGTGTTACACAGTACATAGGCCTAACAACCCCAGTTGAGATGCGCGTCTCGGAACTTAGTTGAAACCGAAACGAAACTAAAACTAATGTCACATTACTTTTTTTATCAAAAAGTGATGAAAATGAATTAGTAGTAGTATATGCACACTTTTCATTCATTATGAATGTTTGAAACAAAACAAAACTAACTTCTTTCTTGTTTTTAGTGTGAAGAAAGAACGATCAGAATGTTTCACAGGAGCTGCTTACAGCAGGGTGCGACTTATATGGCGGTGTGACTTGTGGACTGGAAAGTGTGGTTATTTCTGTGATCGATTAAATTAGCTCAGCAATAAAATAAATTGCCCAGAAATTAATTACCGGCACTTGTTTGGCCTTCATCGCCGGATACCCAGGACACGTTCCAGTCTGCCCTGCTGGCTGCAGGTTCCCTCCTTCAGGTTGTGGATGCAGTCTGCTCTCGGAAGGTAAATCAGAATTTTTATTTTTCATTATTCCGACGTGTACCCTAGTATGGAGCCTTTTCGGCGGGGCATGTTGCCACATGAGGAGTATATTAATTTTATTTGCATACATTTGGGCTTGAATTTAGAAAGCTAAGCTTCGGTGTTCTGGTTCTGCAACATGCCCCTGACACTCTGTGGACTGCGCTTGAATTTGTCTGAGTCTAACATTGTGCCTTAGAAGCCTGCACCAACTCTTGGAATGCCGCTGGTCGCAAGCAGAATTGACCATCTTTTGTCCGTCCAAATTTGGGTCTGTAACGCGTCGAGAAAGTTCTACAACTCTTTTCTTTTTCTAACCAGTGAGAGAATGGTCTGTGTCATCCTACTTAGCTAGGGTGACGCATTCTAAATATTTCTCAGAATCTCATAAACTTGAAGTTCTTCCAGCTAGATACGGTAAGCGTTAGGGAAGACACTGCCTGGGAATCTCAACTTTCGAGCCGCTCTCTCAATTGTTTTTTGAAATTTGCTGGTGGGTGTTTCTAGCGATATAGAAGAAGGGCATACAAAGTTTCAGTCCTGTGAACCAATTTTATGAAGTACTATACCCCCAGAACAAAGCAAAGCATAGCTTGGCATGGAAACTGCTCAATAAATATTTCAATAAGGAATGGTGTTGATAACCACATCTTTCTGGTGGAATGCATACTGGAATACCTGTTGCCAGTTACTGTACTATGAAAATAAATTCCACAAAATATATATTTTCATGAAAGAAAATGAAAATGAAAAAAAAGTAGTTTTTTTACATTTTTCTAGCTTTTATATATTACAATTTTTCATAAAACAGGAACATCAAAATGCAAAATCTAAGTTCCTGGTAACTGGCTCTATAAAATTTCGGTATGTAAGCAGCAAAAACTAAGTCTCAATAGTTTCATACTGAAACAATAAATTTATTAAGTGAAGTTTATGCCAAATGTATGATGGAGAGAAACATGTTCAAAGTGCTCGAACCTCCTACCTTTTCTTTAGCATCAATAAAGTAAACATAACTTATATTAAAAAAAAACAAAAAAAAACAACACAACTTTGCAGTCTAAACAAATGAATTTTTCTAATTTTCTAAGAGTATTCTCTGATGTTGGCAAAATTAAGTTTTTCGAAATCACCGTTGTTTGCAGAAATTTCTCTTTTTTTTGGGGGGGTAGTGTCCCCCCTCCTCAAGGCAGATGTGACGGAACTTGAAAATTATCTGTTGATTGTTTGTAAGGTTTCTGTGCGCTTCATTCTGACTGTGCTCCGTCCACCCCTTAGCTGGCAGTGTGGTGCGAGCCATGTGCATGCTCGTCGGACCGGTCGTATGAACATCTATCTCTTGTCACATGATCACATTCCTGCCCCTACTCGCTCGCCGAGAGCAGGGTCAGGCGACAACGGAGAGCCGTTAATCGATCTTGCAACCGCATCGTCAGCTCGGCAATTAAGGGAGTATAGTCTCGTTGCATCTTCAAGGCTATAAACTAGTAGAGCATGCTGCTGTACAGAGGCTATCTGTCTGTGACTTTTGAAGTCTAGTAAGAAACAACAACCCCAATACCTCGAAAAAAAAAAAAAAGTTGGAATTTTTTATTTTATGGAAGTGAAAAACTAGCATCATTCTCTAAAGTTCCCCGGAAGGGACTCCAAAAACGCCGAACCCCAGCTGTCCCAAACCACCGATCGAACCAGCGTGCTTTTCGAAGATTTTTGAGTCCATTGCAGGTGCATTGCACCGTAATCACACGCCTCCTTTGGACTTAATTTTCGTAGGGGAAAAATACAGTCGCAAGTCACGTCATACCACAGTGTGTGTTTGAGGGCTGGCATCCCCAAAAAAATTTGTGACAGGACGCCACAGGCATTGTCACAAAACGTGTAACATGTACATCAGAGGACAATCCGTACAACAGAGCGGTAAACTGAGAAGAACGAAGTTCTAAACATGCCCCGATGGGATTCAAACCTACGACTATATGATTGCGAGCTCGACATTGTACCCCTCTGCCGGTTGGCGGATGCACACAAAGCTTTCTGGCGTTTGCGGTCGGCATTTGGCATTTCAATTCAAACAGTTTATGAAAAGAAACAAGAAATTCAAGATGCACCCACCATCGAGTAAAAGAGGACAGAGTTTGGAATGAAATAACATGCTACTATAACCAAAGAACATGATAAAAACTGCGATGCCCACCACATACACAAAAGAATCCTGCAGAAACGGATTCTGTGTACACGGACTTCATTCTTAGGATCCAGATAAATTGGGCATTTCGTAAATTACTGAAAGGGACACTGACAGGGTATTTATGCTCGCCGAGGTTTTTAGTTGTACGTGACATATGAGAGCTCAACTACCCAGAACAGAATTTGTGGCTCGAAATTCGGTTTCTTTCCGCCCGAAAACCGCCGATCAAGAACTGGCCGGTTCGAGTCTCGCTCACTCTCTTTTTCTAGGTCACGGGCCGTTTTCTAAGGTATCGATGCGACCACCAAATTTAATCAAAGTCGTGGGTCACTGAAGGCACACACTCAATATTAAAAATAGAAAAAAATATGAAACCCATTTTTTGTGGCTTCTAAAAAGCTGTAAATATGTTGATTGAAAAAAAAAGTTCCACAGACAACCGGAAGCATTCTGTGCGTTGTCGTTTCGCGTATCGTGTGACTCTTGGGGACGGCGATGGCAGCGGACGACGGGCATGGGACCTCTATTTCAGAACTGTCGTTCGCGGTACCGGCGAATTTTGTCTACCTTTAAAAGAGAAGTTTGGGACTGATCAAAAGAATTGGTATTCATCCCGTACGACACGCCCGGCCACCAAGCCGATTTGCACGAAGATGTCGCCGAGCCGTCGCTCCCTTCTCGTGGCTGAAAACATTGCTCGCGCAAACGTCAAGCACGACGTGTCTACTTCGAGTTGAATATGCACGCGTACGATTTCTTTACTAGGTGCGAATGTCCCCAAAGCGTGGTGCTTCCCGACTTCGACCCGGGAGTGCTTTTGCTAGAGAAAAATCGACAGCAAACTTTCCAACTTACAGTTTACCGGCTGAATTATTACAAAGGAATGAGATCCACCAGAAAAGAGATCCCCCAGCAGCGCAGTGGGAAAGACGTCTGGTTCACACGCGGTAGGACCGGGTTCAATCCCCCGTGAAACTTTTTGTTTTTCAAACATTTCCCGATGTTTACATATTTTTTTTCTTTTTTCTTTTTTACAATCATCACTGAAGAAACAAACAATAAATAACAAACAAATGTTGCGGACGATACTTCGCTGAATTAAATGGTATGTGATTTCCTTTTTGACACCTGCGAACTCAATGTAATCACTTTCCACAAAATGCAAGGAGCATATAAATCAGGTAGCGTCCGCTTTCTGAGGTGCCCGTATATGTTCTACAGGAATTGCAGCCAGTCAATGGTCCTGATCCCGTTGATCTTTCGGAAACTCTGTCGCACAATGCCACTTTTTTTCGGACGCAGGACATGTGAGCCAGCTCTTCACGCAACATCTTGGGTGTATTCTTTTCGGAGCCGATCATGGAAATTCACCACGGGCACTCACTACTCATCTCCGACTCCTCAATGTACAAAACAACTCATCTTGGAGTACAGAACAACGAGCGGAACAAACATAACTGTAAAAGAATCGCCCGGCGAGCAGTTCCCGCACGCCGCATCGCACGCCGCATGTCGTGTCGTCTGCTAAGGAGAGGAGAAAAAACAAAAAAAAAACCGCACGGTCGGGTGTGGCCACGTGACTTCCGCCACTCACTCTCTTCTCTCCACTTCTCCGACCTCCGTCGGGTTTCGGTTTCGAGCAGTTGCGTCTTTCGGCTTTATTAAAAAAATACGCTACTTTGTTGCAAAATATTAATTGGGTAGTCCTCCGACACCATATTAAAGCCCCTGGCAAAAAATGAAATAAAAATTTTGGGGGGTGTCAGTGTCCCTTGAAGTGCCAAGGAGCCCACGTGAGTGTAGTTGTACGTACTTTGCACGCTGGAGTCTGCAACCGCAAACGTTCCAAAGCAGGCAAACCCCCAGAAGAAATGTCACTCTGCATGTGCGTTCGTCGGCGCCTGATTAAATTTTTTTTTTATTTGTACGACTATTGACGTTTTGTTTTTTGCCAACGCTCGCAGTGTCGGAACGGCGTGGCCGTGGTTCGTCCCCCGGGGCATCACGCGGAGCGCGACATGGCCAGTGGCTTTTGTATCTTCAGCAATGTCGCCATCGCCGCCGCTTACGCCCTTGAAAGACACGGGCTGCAACGGTGAGACCTCCTCTTTCCTGCGGTGTTTCTCGTCCCGCTGAGAGACGGCAGAACGCGCGATCGCCGGATTAGGGATTTCGAAACGGAAACCGCCAGCGTAAAAACTGGATCGCCCTCCTTTGCTGTGGCATGATTCAAAGGAAGCTATTTTGTCTGCTGCTGCAGTTATTTGCTACTTGTGAATCTGTGTTGAGTCTTCGGTAAGTGAAATTTAAAGTGAAGCTGAGGAGGTTCTTGAAAGGAAATGTGTTAGAGGTGAATTCTAGAGTACTTTTATCCCGTTAATCTGAATGGTCACATTCGTTTTCCTCAAAGATGTAACTAAGCGCAAGAAAACACAAAACACTTCCGACCAGTCGTTTGTTAGACAAGGATCTTTAGGCCGCCAAGAGCATGTTGCTCGCGTGGGCAGCGCATGTGATTGCATGCCTGCCAGGAGTATTCCCACGCACTGACACGAGTTGTGATGTTATTTTCTGACCTTTTTGGAAAAAAGCAAGAGTGCACGGGCATAGCTTTGATAGGCGCTGAAGATGAGTTGCGATTCTGAAAACTCCTGATATGATGTCACTGTCGGAAAAGGAGGGGCTTCAGCAGTACTTCGAAAATTATTTTCTGCAGCCTCCTTGCGCTAAATTGAAAAACAATCTCGATATTCATGATCCTGGAGGCCAAATTAAAACATTGTTTTTTCTCAGATGCAGAACCACTTCAGTTTTTCTTCAAGTAGGTTCTCTTCACCATAGAATAACCTGGTGCTTAAGAGGGGACACTGGCTAGAGGTCAAACTTTTGAACTACTCAAGTGATCAAAATGAAATTTTCAGGGGAGATTTAGCTTCAGATGTACTAGGTGTTCTGTGCAAACTTTCAGCTCCCTAGGACAAATTTACATACTTGCATAAGATGATGTGTCACTTTTCATTAAGAAATCTATGATATGCAAATGAAGCTAATAAGCATCACTTTGACTGCTTGAATATAAAGTGGGGGATATGGGACCTCGGGCTATCTAGTTTTAATAACTTAAATGTAAAAATTTTAGGAAAAGTTGTTACCTCAAACTATGAGATGCATATCTGTCCTATGTCAATTTTTGAAAACTTGGTTTTTTATCACTGAGGACTTCAACTTAAAACAAAATAAAGTAGATAGCCAAATTCCCCAGTAAATTTCAGTTCAGAAACATCTTGATTGTGGTATCCAAATATTTTTTACCTTCGAACAAAAGATTCCTTCGTATGAATCTTGCAGCAAAAAGTGGAACTGAGAAAAATGCATCCGAACATTGAACTCCTTTACTTTGTTACTGCCTCACAATGTGTCAAAATATTTTATATCAACATTCCTATTTGGCGTATGGTTATCAAATTTGGTGTAAGGGTGTATAATAAGTTTATAAAACTGAAAACCTTAAAATTGAAAAATGAATTTTTTCAAAAAAATTTAATATTTAGGCCCATGTCCCCCCTTAAAACAAAACAAAAATCAAAAATAATTTTTGTTTTTCTTGTGCAATGTAATGTTTGAGCAAAGTCTGATTTTTTTGCCACACCTTATGAACGGAAAGTATTTATTTTGAGTTCCGGTTAACAAAAGCGAAGAAAGTTGTTTCATGATCCCCTTGGTACAGAGTAGCGAAGTTGATTTACAGATTGACGTACCTTTACCGCACCTATTAGTACTTTTACTGCGTCTGCATTGGTACTCTTGCTGTGTCCACGGCTCAAAACTTGATGGATTTGCCACCTTGTTAACTCGCGCGACGAGAAGACAAGCTGGCCGGTCGAACGACGCTTGTCTGCAACTGTGTTCTTGCCTCTTATGAGCTGTGCCAGTCTCGACACAAGCGCGTGTGCGTGCCCGTCGTCCCGGGTGAGGAGAAGGACGCCCTTCTTTGCTTGCGCAGGATTCTCGTGCTGGACTGGGATGTGCACCACGGCAATGGAACGCAGCACGCATTCTACGGCGACCCGAGGTGAGGTTCTTTCGTTGCGTCATTGTTTTGTGCTGTTCTGAAGTTCGAGAGGAGGGGGGGGACTTCCTTTCCTTCTACTCAGGTAGCGCAGTTCTTTTGAGCCAAAATTTGGTTTCTATCTGGGAATTTAGGGCCATAAAAAGCCAGATGAAGCCAAGGTAGACTCGAGGTGCCTTGGCCCTAATTCGCCAAACAAGTGCCGAAGTTAGTCTTCACTGCTGTCTTGTTTTGCTGTCATCCGACATCTTTGGGCCTAAATCGCCAAACGAGTGGCAGAGGTAGACTTCACTTCTGGTTGTTTGGTTTTCGTGTGGCAATTTTGGGCCTATGTCACCAAACAATTGCAGGATTTAGGCTTCGCCGCTGCTTCTTGGGTTCATGCGTGGCACCTTTGGCTCAAGTCTGGCACTTAAGCAGTCATGGGACAAACCAGAGAAACGCCATAGAAACACCAAAGAAAAGTACTCAGGCAATCAATAGCGTCTTGGAGCAAAACCGTGTTAGGCTCGGGTCGGGCGCCTAGGAGGACTGACAAGCTTATACCAAGTTCGTTGTTTCACTGGCGTGCTACCTGGGAAAACTGCATGTTCAACCATATGAGCCCCTGAAGTTTCCACAAAAGTGGCTTTTCCCCTCTGCTGCTGTTTTTAATGAAATGAACACTAGAATGGCGTTCAGCCCTGCTCGAGATTTTTTGCAAGTTTTCGAAAAGGCTTTTAATTAGCTTTTTTGAAACTTGATCTTCCAGCTCATTTAAAGAAACACTGAAGAAGTTTTTGAGGTTTTCTTTTTTAGGGTGAAAACTCAATCTATGGGTCTTAAACGTACTGGAAAACAAACAAAAATTGCTATAATCCTTGGCCTTTTTCCTTGTTGTAAATGCGACCAAACATATCATTGTTCCCCCTTTCCTGAAACATATCTCAGAAAAAGCAGCATGTCACGATGCTTGCCTTCTTGATAAGGAAAAAGGCCACATACTATTCTAATTTCTGGGTTTTCTTAGGTGCTTAGGGTGCATAGATTGAGATTGTGCCACGAAAAGACCTATCTCAAAATTCACTTTAGCAGATGGTGTACGGCGTCATACCAGTCATCTTTCAGTCCCCTTCAAACATCAAGCTACTCGATTTCGACCGAAAGAATTCCTCGCCGTTCATATTACAATATAACCTCGTTACAACAAGGTCTGCTTCTGGCAGACATTCGGCTATAACATACCGATTTGTGTTGTTTAGTTTGTTTCCCCATCTATGCCATTGAGCAAACTTCACTCATAACAGATTCTGTCATAACATACATTTAAATATAACAAACTATATTGGGAGTTCATAAATAGTTTATCATTTCATTATAGCGGACACTTCAATGGCAGCAATCATTTCGGACGTTGCGCAGCTTCGGTTCGGTGGCAGCAACAACATCCATTTTTGCAAACTGTTGCCATCACGCTCAGCGCCCCACGGACCCCGTACGACCCCAAGCGCACAGAGATGACGATCATTAGTACAGCTCAATAAAAAAATTGCTTCCTTTGAAAGTTCTCAGGTTTCGATAAACCAGTTCTTTTCTAAACTCCATTCACATTGTGTCAGTTTCGCCGTTTAGAACAGAATTTGGTAGTAATCTACGTCAACGTCCATTGTAAGAGCATCTGCGTTCTGCATACTTTGATCATCTAAAATCGACTTTGATCATCTAAAATCGAGAAAAAATTGGGTGAAAATAAAGAGTGGGCTAACTTTCAGTGTGCAACCAAGAAAGGTGCAACCAAACTCGTTATCGCAGCGAGGGGAATGAAGTAAAAAGACATTACTTCCCAGTCAGCAGTGTTGAATTGTATCCCGACATAACTAACTAGACGCACATAGTGTTTGGATCAATGATGACGAGGTCATCATTGATCCCAACACCACAATCACTAGGAGTGGCTATCTTTCGGTGTTTAAAAGAAAATTGCAAATCAAGCCAAAACTAAGGGGCTTGATTTGCAATACCGCAAGTACCTTAAAATCCCCGCACACCTTTGGGGTGTGTGGGGATTTTACGGTACTCTCCCGGGATTTTACGGTACTCTTTTTATAACAGACCAAATTCTTTATCACTATCAAGGCCTGTTGTAACGAGTTTATACCGGGAACAATGCGTCATGAAGCTGTGATCATCTTTCACCTGATCCAGGGTGCTGTACATGTCGATCCACCGGCACGATCACGGGATGTTCTTTCCCTGTTCCTCCGACGCCGACTACTGCGCCGTCGGCGAAGGGGACGGAAGGGGCTTCAACGTCAACGTTGCCTGGAACTCGGTAGGGAAATGTCTTCGGCAGGTCTCTGTCATCCTCCTTCAGATCCTCTGGGTAAAGTTTTAAGATTCGGGGCGTCGTGTTTCAGGACGGCTTGACGGACGGCGACTACTTTGCGGCATTCTTCCATGTGATACTTCCCATCGCCTACATGGTGAGCTTTTCCACGAAGCTCGAGTGGCCGATCGATCGATTGATTGATTGAAGTGTGGGCTGGCCGATTAGTTAATTTATTTATTGATTGGTTGATCAGCTAACTGATTTACTTTGGTGTTCGGCGTTTTGGCTGACTTCAAGTGGCTGCCCGATTGATCTGTTGGCTAGTTCAGCGGTTCTCAGATGGGGGTCCGTGAAGGCAGTTTAGGGGTTTGCGAAGCCCTGCTTCATCAGTCAAGCTTGGCAATAAAGGTCTCTTTTCAGATCGAGAAAAAACATTCCAATTTTTGGGTAGGTTTCCTTGTGTGTACCTATGTCAATGAGAGAAGTCTACTTCAAACTAGCCCTTAGGTATATCTATTTATTAAATCATAATCGTAATTAACCTACGCGGAGGGCAAGTTCGTCTGCTTCTTGCGCAGGGGTAGCGGTGACGTCAGAACGCAGAGCCCTGATTGGCTGATCGCGACCCCCTATCTGAGCGTCGTCTGCTCCTTTGCAACGTTGTCTGCTCGCAACGTCGTCTGCGTCTGTCTTATCTTTCCTGCGACTTTCGAAAGTGCAGAGGCCAGGTTCACAAAATGATCTTACGCCAAAAATGTGCGTAATACAAAACTTGAGAACAAATTCGTATTCACGAAACGAAATTTTCGCAAGTTTTGCGCAGGTTACGACGAAATCCTACGGACAGCTCCGATTACGCACTTTTTACAATCAAATCAGCATGGCCGACAGCGTCGCAGTCGCGGAGACCAACGGACTTTTATTTTTCTATGTGCGCTTCTCACTTGTCCCGACTTCAAGCAGCAAGAAAAAAGTAAAAGGTACTTGAAACAGACCACGACGAACAAGAATGCTGGATCCACAAACACCCGGGAAAAGCTCCAACGGCCACATTCTCCCGACAACGACCAAGCGAGTGCGGCAGATAGGCCTAGCAGGCACTCCGACTTGGCAACAGTCTGCCCACGATTGGCTGGCGTGCTGAATGGAATATGCCCGCGCGACCCTTGTGAACCCTTCCCATCTTATACTTTGATCGCTGACCTCAATTTTAGATTAAGAGGTCAATCTCATTTTCTTGTCATCTCCTTGTTTTCCGAGGCAACAGCGACTCTCGCCGGTAAAAAAGCGGTGAATCTCCGACAGACGCAGGAAAGGTAAAGCAGATATCGCTTTGACTAGCAGACGTAAAGCAGACGTTAACTGCGCCAACCAGCCGACGCCGTCAGAGTCAGGAGTCTCGCAGCACACGAAAGGAGTGAAAAAGTATTTGGGAGGGAACTTGCAGACTCTAACCACCCTCGCTCTTGGTTCTTAGCAAACAAACCTCGGCGCTTCGGGACACCTCGCCAGTGAGTCCTTTGACTTTCCCTCCTTGATGCGCGTCTGCTAGTTGTTAGACAAAAACAATGTACCGCTCGAGTTATTTCGTCTGCCCTCTCTGAAAGGCGAAGTCGAGCTCGCTCAACTTTCGAAAGTCACAGGAAAGGTAAGACAGACGCCGACGTTGCGAGCAGACGACGTTGCAAAGGAGCAGACGACGCTCAGATAGGGGGTCGCGATCAGCCAATCGGGGCTCCACGTTCTGACGTCACCGCTACTTGCTTTCTCATGCGCAGAAGACGAAAATGAGCCCACTTGCGAGGCGTATACCTTTACCTTCCTCTCACCACAAACAAGGTCCTCCATCATCTTCGCCAATCCACAAGGGGTCTGCGAAACATCATTGGTTGAAAACCAGTGGGCTTATCGTTTGACCGGTTGATCAGCCAATTGTTTATTTTGGTTTTCGAGAAAGTTGAGCTACTGATTGATTGATTGATGCATCTGTTTACTGATTATATGGTTGATTCCTTAAAAAATAAGGTGCCAGAGGACGGTACAAAAAACGGAGATAAAGTGCTATAATTTTTTATTTAATGTACCAGCTGGCCCATCTGTCCATGCTACTGGTTGATTGGCTGATCGATTGATTTCAGTATTCGCCCGAGCTCGTGCTGGTGTCATGTGGATTCGACAGCTGTGTTGGCGACTGCCTGGTGAGGCCTCCATGCATCCTTATCGACTTCCCTTCTGCTTTTTGTGGTTTGCTTTGGCTTGAAAATTGGCTCAGAAATTATGATTCGCTGAAAGGGTAGTGCCCTCGCTAGAGCATATGCACGTAACTGATACTAGTCGTCTTGGTTTGCAAGCAAATGTTCTCACACCCAGCATTCATGCCGACTCATCAAGGTCTGCCCAGCAAGCAAATGCCTTGAAAAGTGTGCCTGTTGAGGTTGTTTTTTTTTTTATGTATTAGTAGAAGTCCATTCCAAGACAAGGTTTAAAAGATACAGCTTGCATTATTTTATATTCGGAAACGGGCCACATGTGTTTAGTGCTTTTTGTCCTAGAATCTCTTGATCAGGTTGGCGCTTCAAAGAATCTAGGTCGGAAACCTTTTAGTGTGCCTACAAAGTGAAGGAAGCTTTCACATTCTGTTCCTGTTCCTGCCCTTTCACCAATGCCAGTTGGTGATGACCTTTGGGTGTGGATGTGTGGGGTCTCAGTCCTCTTCAATTGTGGTGAAGGTGATTTCGAATGGCGCAAAGACACGAAAGCAAACTTTCTTGAACGATTGCAATCACATCCATGGCCTTGATTCTTGATGCATCCGAGCATTAGAACACTTCATCAATGCTGAACAGTGCGTCTAACTAATAATCGTAACCCGTAAACTTTCGAAGCAAACTGTGATGCTGTCCGCCATGCAGAACCTTCAAAGAAGTTTCTTCGTGTCCTCCAAGGCAGCCGTTTATATTTACGCTACGTCTCGATGAACGTCCTTGACAAACGACAGTGATCGAGTACTAAACATTTTTTGCACTAGGCAGCCAACCACCTCCCACAGCAATTCGCCCGGTTGAGGCTACAGCAAGATAACAAGGCCAATCATGATTTGTCGTAGCAAGCAGTGGTTTAGCGCACCTGAATAACCATGAACTTCCCCTGGGTGCCAGTCTGTTGAGTAAGAGTGTGCTTGTTAAGGAGGCTTTGTCGTTAAACATAGCACACCGAGTACGTATTGCAACGCAGGGAAATTGCCGAGTCACCGCCGAGGCCTACGGACATTTCTCTCACCTGCTCACCTCGCTGGCTCAGGGGAGAGTGATCCTCGCTTTGGAGGTGAGTTTCGCTTCTTTGTGATTTATGTCAGGCCTGTCCGGAGAGGAACCTACATCAGCATTTCTAGATCGTCATGTAGCAGTTTCTGTCTCAACATCAGCAATGTCGCATCTCAGCATTGACTAATGTGCACAAGTGACTCTCTGCATATCACATTAGTTATCTGCTGTTAATGAGATAAAATTTAAAAAAAGATGTGGAGTGAATTGATGCTGCTACAGTCTAAGCTCATTATAACAGACCTGGTTACAACAGACATTTGGATATAGCATAGCAATTTATGAAGTTAAGTTGGTTTTTCTCTACATACCATTGGCTTAATTTTATATCTGCATACTACATACTTCTTTTACAACAGACCAAAATCTTGGTAAAAATCAAGGTCTGTTATAACGAGCTTGGACTGTACCTTTATCGTATCCATATTTCTTGTCCGACCTTTACTACATGGAGTTTTTTTTTAGGAGTATATAAATGACGAAGAGCTTATTGGCGAACTCCTTCAAGTGGCAGTTGGTCGTATTGTTACATGTCTTACCTCGTATACATTGTTTGTTTTCGAATTCTCCCACAGGGAGGCTACAATCTTTCCAAAATCCCATCAGCCATGAGCCACTGCGTGGGTGCCCTGCTTGGGGAGAAACCTCCCCCCCTGCGTCAAAACTTGGCCCCTTCTGCCAGGTGACTTAACTACTTTGTGTGCGTCAGTAGTGACCCCATGACTTTCACTTTTTGTGCACTTGACCTGCGCGCAGTCGCGGCACTTCCAGTGGCATGCCGCGTTAAAGGGAAGCTGAAGAGGTTCTTGAAAGAAACGAGTTAGAGGTGAATTCTAGAGTATTTTTATCCCGTGAATGTGAACATCATGTTAGTTTTCTCTGAAGATTTATCTAAACGCGAAAAGACAGATTGAACCTTTGACCAGTCGTTACGTCACAAAAAGGATCTTTCGGCCACCAAGCGTGTGTCGCTCGGGGGGGCTGCGCGTGAAATTGCAAGCTTGTCAGGTATATTTTCCTGCACTGACACCAGTTGTGACATCTTTTTCTGACCTTTTTGAAAATAGCAAAAGTGTGCGTGCATAGCTTTGATAGGCACTGAAGATGCGTGAGAGTGGCGATTCTGAAACTCTTTTTATGACGTTGTGCTTCGGGAAGGAGGGGCTTTAGTGGTACTTTGAAAACAATTTTTTGCAGCCAATTTTTTAAAACACTCTTTTTTATTTACAAGTTACAAGCAACACACACTGTAAGTACTACACTCAGGAAGTGTTCATTTATATAGTTACATCGATTAAAAGTTTCATATCCGCGCTATTTGTAAGCATGTTTTGAAATATTTTCCCCTTTTCTCGGAATTAATTTTTTTGTCACAACACAAAGTTTTGACCACAGTATCCTTGAATCTAGAACTTGGACCTGAATATTAGTCGTGCGCAAATATTTGAAACTTTGAATACAGTTGAACCTCGATGTAACGAAGTCGGTAAAATTCGCAATTTACTTCGTTACATTGAAATTTCGCTAAATCGAAATTTGGCTTTAGCATGCGCAAAAAAAAAATTCCGAAACATTTTACGGGTATGAAAACTAACCGAAAATGTCATTTATTTAGGGGCAAAGTAGTCCGCGAGATTTGCTTGCGCCTTGTCCGAAAGTAGCAGCGGCGTCGGCGGCGTCATACGGCGTTCGAGCGCCCAGAGGGCCCAGAGCGCTTGCACGGCATCTTACTGCCCATGCGACGCCGTGTACCTCCTCAGTACGTCCATTGCGTCGAGCACTTCCCGAGTGCACGTGATCTCGGCAGTTTCTTCAGGATGGCGTCCAAAACGTTTGCTTTCTCATCCTAAGAAAGAACTTTACGTTTCCTTATGGCAGCAAGCACGTAAGTGAACCGCCCGGTTAAAAAGTAAAGCAGTTTAGTCAACCGGCGGACACTTCGAGCGCCTTCCGGTTAGCTATTTCAGCGCCATCTCTTATCCGTTGGTATTCTATTAAGTTTTTCCGGTTTACGCCGGGAAGTTTATTTAATAGGATGAGATACATATTATTGTTGCTGCTTACAAATTTCAAAAATTATCCTGGTAAGATGAAACAGATATCTTGGTTAGCTAAAGTTTCGCCCTCATATTTTGCTCTCATTGGCCGGTTGTTTTTTGTATTTTGACCGTTGAGAACAGTTGCGCGTCGGCTGCCGCGCTCGCGGATGCGTCGGCTGCTCGGCGGCTCCTGTGCCAACGGTGCGGTGGTGATTTTCGTTTGCGGCAGCGGGCAGTGGCGTTGACCTATTGGTTATCGGTCTATTTCTTCTACCAAAACACGGAGGAAACGAAACATTGTCTATTGCTCGACTCAGTGGTGCTCTAATTCCAGTGGCAACATCTCTGCCAAGTTCTTTGGGTTCCCGGTCGAGTGACGAAAGGTAAAGACGGGCTGCTATACTTTTGGTTATACAGTTTCGGATTGCCGAAAACTTGCTGGTGCATGTTTCTTTATGGTAGAGTTATTGTAGAAGGTCACAAGGGACAGCGCATGTATCTTAAAATTAACGGTGTGGGCGGTATCGGTGTTAGAGCACCGCAGCTCGTACGTGGAGCAGCTCGCTGCAGAAGGAACCTGCGAGAGACCGTGGCGATCGAATCACTGTCGCTAACTACCGCAAAGTTAAATGTGTTATTGCAGGTTTTTGAATACTTGAATAGTAGTTTCGTGTAGATTTTGTTACTTTGTTGTGCCGTGCAGTGAACGTTTTTTTTTTTTTTTTCTCTGTATAAAGAGCGTGCCTAATAAAAAGAGAACTTGCAAAAGAAGTTTGGACTTGTGCTCAGACTGGCGATGTGCGCCCATCTTTTGCCGCTAAACAGCAGCGGCTGGGCGTACTTTGCATTCATTGAGTGACCATTTTATGAGCACTGGCTGTCACTGAACGTGCACTGTTGCCAAGCTGATATCAATCGAGCGACGCAAAGTCAAGTGCAATCGTTTCGGAGCGTCGGACATTCGCAAAAAAAAGGTAAACACATTGTATTGTAGAAGAACGAGACGGCGGCAATGGGAGCAGTTCCCTCTTCTCTCAACATCAGCGATAATAGGATGCAAATTCGTTCGGAGTTCGGAGGCTGCTCCGAACTCCGAACGAACTCGCATCCTTTTGTCGCCGAGGGTGAGAGAGAGGGAGAGGAGGGACCACACTTTTCACACCCTCTCCCATAACCAAGCGGTTGCCATGACGACGGCGCGCGTATTGTTTTGTCTATTTTTTTATTGCTTTTGGAGAAACCCAACGCCCGTTAGGGGAGATTTGGCGCTGCCGTCCGCAATTGGAGTCCCAATGGGAGGTATTGGGCAGGAGATCGCACTATAGGGGGCGCTCTGACCCGTTTGTTTTCCCCACGCTCGGTGTTTACTCAACACAAGGCCTGTACACATGCCAACAGGCCTTATGGGCATGGCCATGTCATCTTCTACAATAGAGCGCGGGGCACAGTTTAATGTAAAAAATACTAACAATCGACGAAGCGACGTTAAGTGCCGGACCTATCTTCTGAGAATGCGAGCTTGACCCACTTCGGCTTTTGTGCTAAGCTGGAATCGTGCATGCTGCATTGTTCATGCAGGCCGTCGTGGAAACAAAAGAGCCCCTCCTCCCCCTCGCCGGAGAACACGAACTCCAGTCGAACGCTGACGCCGCGTTCGGTTATGTCGGCCGAGCGCTGCGTCATTGTGTTTGTTGTCCCCATCCGTGTAGTTGATAAGTTAACCGCTTGGGGCGTAACGGTCTGTCCTCCTCCCCAATAGGAAGAGTCCGCCGGTTGGTTTAGTTTAGGCGGTGCCAATGTTTCCAACCTACACAGCACTCTTGACCGCACAGTTTACTTGCCCCCTTGCGCCCACAGTGTGCTTGCGCCTTTGCTTTACATCACGCTCGCAAGACGATAATCGGTCTTTTCGGTCTTCTCCTAGATGGCACTGCCCGTGCGGTCGCGCGGTAGGGAGGCTGTAGTGGCTGTTGTTCGCGCGGTCGCGCCATCACGTCGCTCCCCCGCTGAAGTTGGCTCCCGCGCTACCCGCGGTGCAGTAGACTATGATCAGTGAATGTCAGTGGTGATGCTGTTATGCCGTGTTAACTTTTTGCTCGGCATTTTCTGGCCAGCCTCGCGGAAGTCCGCTTTGCCGCATGCCTCGCCGGCGCTACCGGCGCCGCATCCTCGGGCAGGAACGTTGGAAGGCCTGTCCCCGTGAAGTAACCTATCAAGCGCTCGCGTTTGCGCATAATTTTTTTTTAACCACAATTTTTTTGCGAATTTGTTTTTTAGAGTTGATTTATTTATTGCCTTCTATGGCAATGGCGCTTCGTTATATTGAAATAGCAGCAAAATAGACTTCGTTATATAGGGACTAAAAATACATGGGGTCTATGGGCAAGAAATTATGAAAAATAAAATACTTTGTTAAATCGAGGATTTCGTTACATTGAAGTTCGTTATATCGAGGTTCGACTGTACTTTGCAAATAATGCTCGCTCTTCGATTCGATTCGCTTCGCACTTTCGCTGTTTGAAGTATTCGAGTTCTTAGAATACTTAAAAAACTATGAATATTGCGGAACTCGCTGATTAGTGTCAATTCATGGTCGAGTTCTCTGTTTTGCTTTTGGACTGTGCGGTACGGTTTGGGTTCGGCAGACCCAAAAAGCCAATCTACTAAGTTCCTTTTCTTTTTTTTTTTTTTTGTATGAAGCTCTGGAAAATTATTTGAACGCAGTAGCGCGATTTGTCCTTTGCTCGCCATGATGTCTGGATTGCGGAGTTGGCGAAGCGGTCACGGTGCAGACGCTGCGATAGATTTGATGAAGGACTATGATTTCGAACGGCACAGGCATCGTCGTGAGCACAAACGCGACAGACCATATTCACTAGCCAAGGTACCATGGACTCGGATATGGATTTATGGCTGACCTTGGCTATCGGCGATATCTGGCTCGAGTTATTTTCCGCTTGATTTTCTGGTTCGTCAGTCTGCTATTTATTTCTACCCATTTTCAGTCATTTAAATGAGACTTGCTTCCTCCGCCCCAAAGAACCCAACAACAACATATTCTTAATTTATTGCTTCTTTGTGGCACCCTCTATCGGCAGAACTGTTGCACACGTAAAGAGATGGCGCAAAGTCAGCGCAGCTGCGCGGCACGATTGCACAATCTCCAACTCTTCTGTGGCTCGCCGACCCGCCTCCGCTTGTGTACTTTCGATTACGTTCACGTTGCTGCGTTCACCCGCGTAAAAAGGTTTTGCACAAAGTCGGAGCAGCTGCACGATGCAATCTTCCACTTTGTATTGTGGCTTGCCAACCCGCCACCGCTTGTGTACTTTCATTTACGTTCTGTAACTTCACTTCTAGAATGATGTTTTACTGACTGATCTTTTATTTCATCTGTTTTTTATTAGTCACACCTGTGACATTTTTTTTACTGCAATAAAGTTGACCTTTTCAAAACTGTTTTGTAAAAAAAATGTAATTCCAGATATGTTTTGATTGAGCATTTTGTTTAATTCACATCAAATAGAAAATGTTTGTTTTCAGGAATGTTCTTATTCAAAACTACTATTCGTATTTGAAAATATTCTACTCGATTTGTTTCACTTTGAAAGATTTTGGTATTCGCACACCTCTTCTGAATATA